TACTTAACTAAACTATACTCCAACTAAATAAACCACATACTTACAGTCCACCCAAATTTTTAAGTATGAACAAAGAAAAACAATTCACAAAAGGAAAAACCCCACAGGTGGTCCTGAAAGAAAAGAAGAGAGAGACAATTAGTTTGTCACATTTAACCCAAATAATGAGGATGTCAAACTGAACTGTGATGAGAGCTCAGAGAAGCTTTCAATGAGTTATTTTTTAACGTGGTCTTTTGAAACAGTAAAAACAAAAATAAGTGAAAAGTTTTACTGAATTTGTGCTTAAGATCTGTTTGCACTTATTTTTGCACGACTGTCAGAGAAGCCGATATAAGTCTCAAATGTGTATGAATAAATAAATAATTAAACCTTCAGCTGTGTTTGGTGTTATTACTCTAGTGTCTATTACATCAACAAAACCAGAGACTTTTAACTCCAGTGTTTAATTTGATTCTTTCATGATTTAGTAGAATAGTCTTTATTGCATTACACTTAAAGAAAACACTACAAATACAGGGAACCAAATTCTTAATTAGAGATTTAGAGAGAGCTTAAAATCATAATTTTTTGAAAGTTGTATATTATACATATATAGCGGATCGCAAGCAATGTTCAGGTAGGAAGCAGGATATCAACAATTATCAGCACTGTAAAGCAATTTTAAATTTGAATTTTAGATTTGTAAATATGGTTTAAATTGAAATTAAAGATGAGCAAAAGTAACTAAAGTGTTAATTTAACAAACAAATAATAGTAATCTTGATCATTTTTTACTTATAGAAGTCTTACAAGAAACCCATATGTTATCTGGTGGAGTAGATTTTCCTGTTTATTCATCCTTTATTCATAAAACTGTTTTTTTTTAAATGAATAAACTAATATAATGCGCTTCTTTTACCTGTCATCTCCCCTTATCAGACATAAATGATTATACATTCAATTTGCCAGTAGATGGCGACAAAGTAATTCAGAAACTAGCCCTGAAAAACAAAGGCTTCATACTCAAATGAATATAACTCCTGGTGGCTGTGATTTTAGCTGACAAAGTTGAATATTTTAATGTGAAATACTTACATTTAGCTTCCACTTGATACACTTTTCTCCTCTTTGACTCCTAACCTAAGCCTCCCTCTGCTTGTCAAGTGCAGATCATTTCAGCTCTAGCTGGCCGGATGTTGATTGATAGATCATGGCAGTGGTGCAGGTGTATGAGCAGTGAAATCTTTCAAAAGGACACTGCGATGACCTTTGACCTTCTCTATCTCAAGCCAAAGAGCTGCACATTCTCCGCAACCTTCTCAAACTCTTTATCCAGGACCTCACCTCTCAGGTCAAGAAGGTACAAGCCCCCTTCGCCTCATGTTTGTAGTTACTTCTCTGAGTCTGACAGGTTTAAATCTATCCTGGTTTTTCTGTGTGTGTGTTGGCAGAGTGCAGAGCTGGACTGTGAGGATGGATTTGGAAACGTGGTCCAGAAACAGAAGATCTCCTTCCTGGAGATCAACCTGGAACAGCTCACCAAAGTCTGCAAGCAGGTAAAGACCTCCAACAAGATCAGGACCTGCTGAATAATGAGCAGGAACCTCAGACTGAGACGCTAAGGGAGAAGAACTACCGTGTCTGCAGTGAACATACAGGATACTCTACACAAGAACTCTGATTGCATTTCCATGAAGTAATAATCATCAATTCATTCATGCACAACACTTACATTCATGTATTCATACATGCATACATCTTAAATACTGATTTACATGCATCCATCTAAACATACATTTATTTAAGCATACATAAATACATTCAAGCAAACATTTCTACAGACATACAGCATTCATTTATGTATATGCGTATTTTCATACATGTATTCCTAAACACAACCTGTTTACATTAATTCATTCACAGTTTCATTCATTCATACATACAGTCATTTATTTACTTTTGTCGCACTGTGAGTGACTTTGCTTCTCTGCTTTGCATCAGTTTCCAGCACAGTTTCTTTGACTGTGTGTGAATATATCGTATATGTTTGGGTACATGGGAAGGGAATAAAGCCGCTTCAGTGAGGAAGTCTCAGACCTGTAAATCACACAGGTCTATTTATGATCTTAATAATGATTTCTAAAGCAGGTTTGTTGGTTAAGAGGTGACGTTTACTTTCTCTTCTGTTTACAGTCTGCTGCTTCGGCTTCAGATTTTCATTGTTTTCTGTCTTCACTTCTTTCTAATCCTCCTCTCAGCTTGGCTCAGATTTTTCTGTGTGTGTTTGTGTGCGAACCAGCCTGCAGTCTCATGAGGACATGACCTTCATCAGTTTAAACACAGGTATGAACACCTGTGCAGGTGAAGAAGAGTTCCGGGAGTCTGACTCTGACTGTTCAGACAAACTTCTATTTGAGTTTGAGTTTGAGTTTATTTATTTAAACCAAGGACAATACATATTGATGAACATATACATGTAAATATGCAAGATTATAGCCAACGGCTAATTTCCATTTTTAGTCCCTTCAGCAGGTTGATGTCAACAACATAAGATAATAAAATCAATAAAACTACAGTAACAACAAGTAGAACAGTTAGCCTTCATGGCCAGTATAAGCAGGGGGAGTAATTACAGAGAGGATAAATGTTTGAAAACACAACAGGACAGAAAATGAAAAATAAAAGCAAGAACAATGAAAAGTATAGTGGATCATGAAACATACAGGCCAAGGGTCAGGGGACCATATGTATTTCACTAGCGTTAAATGCTAAAATTAGCTATCAAAGAACTGATTAATGCAGAGTGCTGAAGTGTTAAAGTGTTAGGTGCGTACTTATATTGCAGATTGCCCGATGGCACAGTAAATGTAAAGTGCTATTTTAAATGCACAATACTCAGAATATAAAGTGCATGCCTTGCATGTGGCCCTAATGCCTAAAAAGTAAATAAAGATATAATAAATTGTAAAAATATTAATGGGGGAGAGGGAGTAGTAGTAATAATAATAAAGCAGTGATGTTTATGTATGTACTCTGTAGAAATTGCGGATGGTACTCCAACAATTAGCTAGCATTAAACAATACATGTTCAGGCACAGTTGTGGCAACAGTGTTGTTTTTCCAATAGCCAAGCTTTAAGATGTTTGGTAAAAGAGGTCAGAGTCGGGAGTTCACGTATTGTGTTTGGTATAAAACTTCCAGGTGTGAGAAGCACAAACAGAAAAAGTGGCTTGACTAAAGGCACTCTTTCTAAAAGGAATTACACAGTCACCTCTCGAACCAGCTCTTGTTGACCTGTTAGAGTTTTTTTTCACAAATTCTTTTAATGGAGGGGGTGCTTTGCCATGGAAGATTTTGTACATCAAGGTAGCGTCTGTGTGTTCAACAGTGTTGTCCCAGCTTAGGCGCTCATGTTTTTTAATATATGACAGTGGTGGTATGTTTTTGTTTTTTTATCCAATACTTTCAGGGCTTGTTTATAGACTGTTTCAATCGGCTTTAATGTCGTTTTACAGGCCGATGCTCAACTTGTTACGCAGTAGGACATGTGTGACATGATCATAGTATCAAAGTACAACTTTGCTGACTCAAGAGTTAGATTGTTTATAATAAACCTAAAGTTGGACAAGTTAAACTTAATTCTATTCACAGTTTTTTATTTGTCGTTTAAAAAGAAGTTGTGAGTCAAGAGTGATTCCTAAGTATTTAAACTCTTGTACGACCTCAATTGTTTTACCTTGTACAAAAATGTCGGAATCACTGTCAGTATTTGCTCTTTTTGAGAAGTACATAACAGTCTTGGATATGTTCAAGTATAGTTGGGATTTCTCAAGCCAGTTATACACATTTGTCATAGCATCTGTCAATTCTTGTGCAGCGTGTTTTTTATCCTTTGCATGGACATACAGAACAGCATCATCGGCATACATTTGGCAGGTGACATTCGAAGGACAACAACTTGGCAGATCATTTATATTCAAACTGAAAAGCAGCGGCCCCAGCACTGACCCCTGCGGTACCCAAAGATTGTTGTTACGTGATGTTGACTTCACGTTCTGTATCCTAACACACTGTGATCTTGCAGATATGTATGATTCAATCCAATTCAGAGTGCTTGGGAAGAAGTTAACACTAGACAGTTTGGTCAGCAGTATCTGGTGGTTAATGGTGTCAAACGCTTTTCTAAGATCAATGAAAACAGCACCAATGACACCGCCTGCATCCAACTTTGATATTATGATTTCCAGAAAGAAGCAAACCGCTTCTAATCAATACAGTGAAGAAAACTGTGCTGAATGAGGCAGATTTTTCCCCCATAGAGACAGAAATCAGTCCAGTTCAGTGAGCCAGTTTGACATGGAGTCCTGCTCTTTGATAATAGACATTCAGACTGATGTGACAGGATACAAACAGTCAGATAACCAGTTGAAGTTTGTGTTAGTGCAGAGGGTCAAGGAGGAGGAGAGAGAGGAGGAGACTCTCCCTCCTACACAGAACACCAACTCACAGAGGAACCAGGAGACCAAGACCAGAGCACAAACCCAGGATAGAGAGGTTGAGTGAATGTGGTGTTGAAGGTGTGGAGGTGGATCAGTGTGTCAGAGGAGACGCTGTAGAAGGACAGAGTGCCAGCAGGACAGTCCACATGCACTGCTACTCTGTGAGAGACAGAGGATGAGGGGAGACGGAGTGCTGTTCTTGTTTTATTGTGACGGACAGAGTAACCTTCATCAGAGCAGAGCAGGCTCCAGGACTGATCATTAAATCCAAACAGACAGTCAACACTGTCTCCTTTCCTTTTGATTCCTCTGTAACTCACTGATATATCAACCCCTCTTCTCCACTCAACCTCCCAGTAACAGTGACCAGTCAGACCATCTCTACACAGAAGCTGAGGACAGAAGTCAAATCTGTCTGGATGATCAGGATATGACTGATCCTCTTCCACATATGTCACCTTTCTGTTGTTTTCAGACAGTCTGAGGAATCTGTTTACTGTGTTTGAGTCCAGTGTGAGTTCACAGAAATCTGACAGAGAGAAAAAGACACAACACAGCAGCAGGTTATCATCAGACACACCTGAAGGCTTTCTTCTTTGTTAGCTGACAGTCTGCTGTTTGGTCATCAGTAGTCAAACTGATTCAACACTTACACTTCTTCACACCAGGTTTTAACCTCTGCTCTCCACCATGGTCCACCCTGAAGGAAGAAACACAGTCAGAATGATTGAGTGTCCAACATGAGTCCTACTTGCTGTCCAACATGAAGCAGAGTTCCTCAGTTTGTCCCTGTGACAGAGAAACAAGCTGAAACTCATCTGAGCCAACAGTCTCCATCACTCTGTCACTTTTTCTGAGTCTTTCTGACAGAAACTCACAGAAAAACAACAACAACAAGATTCAAAGAGCAAAGGCTGGCTGTTGGTTTGTCCTACAACATGGAGACTTGATTTGGGCCCTTTGGAAAAGACCTTCATTTCTTCTTTTAGGACGGCTGTACAGCCAGTACTTTGAGTCTATGTTTCTGACTGAGGGTGGATGTATGAAGGAGGTGTTTCTCTGTAGCTCTGAGGCAGCAGAAACCAAATATATCTGTAGTTGTGTGTGACCCAGTAACTGTCTGGTTATACCTCAGTGTATCCAGTCTCCATAGAGGATCCTCCCGACCAGCAGAAAGCAGTTTTACTCCTGAGTCTCCTGGATGATTGTAGCTCAGGTCCAGCTCTCTCAGGTGTGAGGGGTTGGAGCTCAGAGCTGAGGCAAGAGAAGCACAACCTTCTTCTGTGATCAGACAGCCTGATAACCTGGAGTCAGAAAAAAGATATGAGACAAGGAAAAGTACCAACTTTAGACAATTTCATTCAAACAACTACAAAACTCAATTAGCAGAAAACCTGACCTGAGAGTTTCCAGTTTACAGTGAGGACTCTTCAGTCCAGCAGACAGCAGCTTCACTCCTGAATCCTGCAGGTCATTGTGACTCAGGTCCAGCTCTCTCAGACTGGAGGACTGGGAGCTGATGACTGTGGACAGAGCTTCACAGCTTCTTTCTGACAGGTTACATCCAGTCCACCTGGAGATATTTGAATAAAACTAGGTCTTTGTTTCATTGATGATTAAAGGTAGTAGATGTTCTTCTTTGAACATATCATAATCTTTAACAACAATCTCTCATTACTTTCAGTTAATCATCTTAACAAGATCTGACTGAATTAATAATGTCTCTTCACTTGACTCCACTCATAATAAAAGAGCAGTAAGTAATAAATGACTGACTTTAACTGCTCAGTTTTGTCCTTCCTAAAACTGAAATGATTATCGGTTGTTCAATTTATATCTCGTGTAGTTTTCTTTTCTTTTCTTTTTTTTTCATCTCTTAAAGATTAAATTTCAATATTAAACTTCACACAAACCTGAGAGTTTTCAGTTTACAGTGAGGACTCTTCAGACCAGCAGACAGCAGCTTCACTCCTGAATCCTGCAGGTCATTGTTACTCAGGTCCAACTCTCTCAGACTGGTGGACTGGGAGCTGAGGACTGAGGACAGAGCTTCACAGCTTTCTTCTGACAGGTTACATCCACTCAACCTGAACAGACATGAAGATATTTGAACAAATAAGCTCTTTTGTTTCACTGATAATCAAAAACCTTGGATGTTTTTTTTCTTCTATAATATCGTTAATTGCTTTTTTCAGTTTCTTTTTCATCAGTCTAAATAAAATCATTCAAACCAGATCCGATTGAATAAGTGTACTCTCTTGTCTTGACCAAATTTATTACTGGATCATGAGATAAGTGCAGTAAGTAGCGCTCTGTTTTATTGATGCTTTTGTTTCTGTGGTTTTGTGATCTGACAGAGAGTAAAGTTTTATGTTTGACCTTGTACAGACCTGAGAGTTTCCAGTTTACAGTGAGGACTCTTCAGTCCATCAGACAGCAGCTTCACTCCTGAATCCTGCAGGTCATTGTGACTCAGGTCCAGCTCTCTCAGACTGGAGGACTGGGAGCTGATGACAGTGGACAGAGCTTCACAGCTTCTTTCTGACAGGTTACATCCAGTAAACCTAAAAAATAGGGCAATATTGAAAAAAAAAAACCATCTTTATTCATGTTAAATTACAGTTGTACTGTTATTTAAAAGGCAGAATTCATCTTCAATTAAAGAGTTTGTTTCTTTTTTGTGCTTTCATCTTTGAATGGTGTTAAATGGCAGTCTTACAAAAAATGGACTGACTTTCACTATTCAAGCTTGTCCTTCCTTAAAAGTAAAATATTTATCAGTTTCTGGGTATTCTGTTTTTTTTTAAATCCCATACAGATTTAATTTAAATATTTAACTTCACACTTACCTGAGAGTTTCCAGTTTACAGTGAGGACTCTTCAGACCAGCAGACAGCAGCTTCACTCCTGAATCCTGCAGGTCATTGTGACTCAGGTCCAGCTCTCTCAGACTGGTGGACTGGGAGCTGAGGACTGAGGACAGAGCTTCACAGCTTTCCTCTGACAGGTTACATCCACTCAGCCTGAAGAAGAATCAGTGATTAGCACAGACACAATTTTTCATCTCTTATGAACAATAATGTTTCATCTCTCATGTGTCCACCGACAGAGCTTTGTTGGAGGCTTTGACCACTGGCAGCAGCCTCAGAAGACCCTCCTCTGAAGCAGAGTATTTCTTTAGGTCAAACGCATCCAGATCTTTTTCTGATGACAGTAAGATGAAGACCAGAGCTGACCACTGACCGGTAGACAGTTCCTCTGTGGAGAGACGTCCTGATCTCAGGTACTGTTGGATCTCCTCCACTAAAGAATCATCATGCAGTTCATTCAGACAGTGGAACAGATTGATGCTTTTCTCTGCAGACAGATTCTCAATGATCTTCTTCTTGATGTACTGGACTGTTTCTTGATTGGTCTGTGAGCTACTTCCTGTGTGTGTCAGCAGACCTCTCAGGAGTTTCTGATTGGTTTGCAGAGAAAGACCCATGAGGAAACGTAGAAATAAATCCAGGTGTCCGTTCAGACTCTGTAAGGCCTGGTCTACAGCACTCTGATGGAGATGTTTCAGTTTTGGTTTGACACTGAAGATTTTAGAGATTGAAGATGTTGTTAGTTGTTCTTCTTTCATCAGGTTGACTCCAGAGTTGGTGAAGGTCAGGTGGACATGAAGAGCAGCCAGAAACTCCTGAACACTCAGATGGATGAAGCAGAACACCTTGTCCTGGTACAGTCCTCTCTCCTCTCTGAAGATCTGTGTGAACACTCCTGAGTACACTGAAGCTGCTCTGATATCCATGCCACACTGAGTCAGGTCTGATTCATAGAAGATCAGGTTTCCTTCCTGCAGCTGCTCAAAAGCCAGTTTTCCCAGAGACTTAATCATCTTCCTGCTCTTTTCATTCCAGAGAGGGTCAGTCTCAGCTCCTCCATCATACTTGATGTTCTTCAGTTTGGACTGAACCACCAGGAATTGGATGTACATCTGAGTCAGGGTCTTGGGCAGCTCTTTTCCCTCTCTGGTCCTCAGCAGATCCTCCAGAACTGTAGCAGTGATCCAGCAGAAGATCGGGATGTGGCACATGATGTGGAGACTTCTGGATGTCTTGATGTGTGAGATGATTCTGCTGGCCTGCTCCTCATCTCTGAATCTCTTCCTGAAGTACTCCTCCTTCTGAGGGTCGGTGAACCCTCTGACCTCTGTCACCATGTCCACACACTCAAGCGGGATCTGATTGGCTGCTGCAGGTCTTGTGGTTATCCAGAGGTGAGCAGAGGGAAGCAGGTTCCCCCTGATGAGGTTTGTCAGCAGCACATCCACTGAGCTGGACTTTGTAACATCAGTCAGGACCTCATTGTTGTGGAAGTCCAGAGGAAGTCGACACTCATCCAGACCGTCAAAGATGAACACGACCCTGAAGTGTTGAAAGCTGCAGATTCCTGCTTCTTTGGTTTGAGAGAAGAAGTGATGAACAAGTCCCACCAAGCTGAACTTCTTCTCTTTCAGCAAATTCAGCTCTCTGAAGGTGAATGGAAATGTGAAGTGGATGTCCTGGTTGGCTTTGTCTTCAGCCCAGTCCAGAGTCCACTTCTGTGTTAAGACGGTTTTCCCAATGCCAGCCACTCCCTTTGTCATCACTGTTCTGATTGGTTCCTGTCTTCCAGGTGAGCCTTTAAAGATGTCTTCCTGTCTGATGGTTGTTTCTGGTTGCTGTACTTTCCTGGATGCTGTTTCAATCTGTCTGACCTCATGTTCATTGTTGACCTCTCCAGTCCCTCCCTCTGTGATGTAGAGGTCTGTGTAGATCTGGTTCAGAGGGGTTGGGTTTCCTGCTTTAGCAATCCCCTCAAACACACACTGGAACTTCTCCTTCAGGTTGGACTTGAGTTTGTGTGGACACTCTGCAGCAGCAGATCCTGAATGAACAAAAAGAAATGTGATGAATCATCTGAAGCTACAATCAGTCTGATGAATTTACTCTTGAAGACATCAGGATGGATTTGATTTCCCTCCTCTCTGAAATCTCTTCAGCTCATCAGCTGTGATCAGTTTCTCTCAGTTCATAGATGTGATACAAATGTGTGCATCTTATGAACAGCAGAGTCTGAACTCTAAACCTCTCCCATGTTGTCTCCATTTCCTCTTTCCATCATGTTATATCTCTTCAAATCCTCTTACTTCTCTGCAGACAGTCAGCTAGCTCCTCCTGCTTCATTCTTCTCAGGAAGTTCACAGTGATCTTCAGAAACGCCTCTCTGCTTCTCCTCTGTTCTTCATCCTCATCCTTCCTCTGACTCTCTAAGTATTCTGGTTCATTAGGAGTCAGAACTCTCTGGATCTCCTTCAGCTGCTCCTTTACAAAGCTGATCATGTTCTCCTGGAGCAGCTGGAACAGAACAAAATGTGAACATGAACTTGTAGAACTGAACATCAGATCATCTATGACAGACAGAAAGCCTGCTGGTCTGAAGAGTCCAGTATGGAGACTGGATCACAATGCTGCTTCAGGATTGACTTTGTGGATGGTCCTGTCTTCCACAAATCCAGTTTCTATGACCTGACCTTCATATTGGAGAAATCTCCTGGTGTGGTTTCATGGAGAAAAAGTCTGCAGTGACTTTAGAGGTGATGTGTTTATTAGAATGAAGCTGAGAGCAGCAGCTGTCATCGACATGAACCAAAGTCTTTCTGTTCTTTAAACCTCAAACTGGACTCAGTTTGTGAATTCTGCTCTCTGCTGCCAAAGTCTGAGTCTGTGTCAGACCACCATCCACCATGACCTCTGACCTCTGACTCTGTGCAGGTCATAAATGTGAGGCTTCATTCAATCAGTCAAACTGTGAGTGTGAAGATAATTCAGGCAGGGATGATGTTTGCAGAGTCATTAGGAAACAATTCAGAAACCTCCAAATATACTGAGTGTCTGCTCTGATGATCAGTAGGAGCTGTGTTTGTACATTTTCACCTACCATAAATATGGAGTCCAGCTGTGTTTGATGCTGCTGGGCAGACTGACCAATGGGAACCTCTGATCTCTGCTGCTGAACACTGTGGAACAAACAGAATCTAATGTAGTGGATATAATATAAGGAGACACAGGGTTACATGTGAGAGAGTCTATCTAGAGGATCCTGGTAGAAACACTGCTGGATCCTCCTACAGACACAGGACACACATGAAGATACATGCAAAGTCCAGAGGCCTGTACTACGAAGCTGGATTTGGTCTTAGCGAGGTAACTTCTGGATAACTTCTGGGTTTTCCGTACTACGAAGGTGGATCTCTTTTTATCCGGGTCCGTTGCCCCGGTAACTTATGCGGAATGCCAAACCTGCTCTGGAGCAGGTTATGTTTCAGGATAAGATCTCAGCAGGTATAGAAGACCGCCCGATGACCAATCGGATCTCTTGGAAAATGGCTTGCCCACTTTTGCCGGATCCCGGGGACATCGTTGCACGGATAGTGAGAGGAGCGCTTCGCGTTTATTCATAATCGTTCAAATCCGTTTGATTTACCTGATGATGTTCTCTATGAACGTTACAGGTTTTCCTCGGACGGCCTCAATATTCAGGTTGCATGAAGTCTAAGCAATGCACTAATATTTGCCAAGCTCCAGGTTCCAATTTCATGCGGCATATCAGTCATCATTCAGAATTTATTGAAGCAGATTAGAAAACTCCTCTTAACCCCAAATGTGTCTGCAGATGACATGTGACCATCAGATGAAGAAGAAAAAAAAGGCAGTGTGAGGAAATCACTGTTTACGCGTTGAAATATGTACAAATAAAATCTTCCAATAAACTTACAAACTACTTTAAAGGATGTTTTTAGATTTATTTTTATTTGCTCCCACGTATCCTTTTCCCCACTGCTGTTGTATCTGAAATAATGAGGTCAGTGATGGAGGTGATCACACACGCTGCATGACACCATATTAGGGGGCCATAAATTTATGAATGCACAGATGTAATTTACACAACCAATGATTTTTTTTCTTTTTTTTGCCGGCAGTCCCTCCGGCTTTTAGCGGCTGTGTCTGTCTCACTGTTTAAATAAAGCTCTGTTCTTCAGCTGTGAAAAATGACGTGCAGCCTTCTCCATTGTGGAGATTGGTCCTGTGGCACTGACCCCACCCCCTTTACGTGTGCGCGCACAGATCTGAACTGGATTCAGTTATCGAGTTGATAACAGGCTTCGTAGTACAGTTGATCGGGATTGCGGAGATCCGGTGAAGTTGAGCGAGTTGTCGCAGAGTTATCCTGGATGTGTTAACCCAGCTTCGTAGTACAGGCCTCAGGTCTTTCTGGCTCTGATTCTGTTTACTGCTGTTGGATCCTGATAGAAACACAAACCCTGAAAAATCTTCACCTTCACAGAGAAAACACTGACCACAGTTAGGATGAAAAGTTTCACACACAACAAAAGAAAGTTCAGTTTGAAAGGCTCACCTTTGGTCATCACAAATCTCTCCTTCTTTGAAATTAATAAGTCTGAACATAGACCGGTCACTCTTTAAGGACACACAGCTGGGTCCAGGTCCTGGAGAGTCTGGTCTGTACTGCTGTTCAGGTCTTAGACAGACAGACAGACAGACAGACAGACAGACAGACAGACAGACAGACAGACAGACAGACAGACAGAGGTCTGAGTGTGAATAATAGTGATGGTGGAGTGATGTGAGTGCTGAACTCTGACATGGAGAAGAGTCATGGACAGTTGGAGATCCTCATCTCACCTCTGAACTTTGGTCTGGCTCTCATGTTCCCCCCACAGAGTGGTTTTAGAGGGAGGGGCTCCCTCCTCTCTTTCCTCACACTGATTCATAGCAGAGCCCCCACCTTCACACAAACACAACAACATGCTCAGTCAGTACAACAAGCTTTACACCACAGGACACTTCAGTTCTCATTCCTCTCAAGAACACAAATATTCTGGACTGACAGAAACCTATTTGGAGCCTCAAACAGGATCTGATGAGTCCAGAATGAGTTACAGCCCCCAGACTCTCCCATAAATAAACTGTGGTCATCACAATTATCTATCACATAAACACTATTGTTCAAATGAGTAAGAGTCAAATAAAAAAGTCTCTTTAAATCAATATGTTTGATTAGCTTGATTAAAAAAATCTTTACTTTTGATTTTAAGTTTTCAAAGTTGGACAGATATCAAAAACTGACATAGGATGGCTCATTTTCTGTCTTATAGCGGCCCCTGACAGCTGAGGGGTCTCAATCAAACACTGAGTCCACTTCCACCCTGGACTGGCTCTGGTCCATCTACAAATATCTGAAACTTCTGGGACCACTGAGACTTGGACCCTGCTAACTGAGTCAGTCTCTGATCTGAAATCTGAACCCTTCACCTCAGAGTATCAATCGTTTCAAAATAAAAGCACCAAGTCGATCCAGGCTGTCAGACCAGTTCAGACACTCCCTGGATTTTTCCCTGATGGTGTGACTCAGATTACTGTCGACCTGCTGCTGAGTCGACTCCACCAACATCAACTATAGAGCAGGTGAATCAGTCTGAAATCTCTGCTCTTTAACTCAGAGAGAAATTCTACAACATGTTTCAAACAGCCAATCAGCATACAGAAAGATTTCTACACTTCAACAGTGACCCAGCACCATGTGAGCACACTGATACTGATCCTCAGACATGATCAGATTTCTCTGGAAGGATCCTCACCTGTTGAAGAGCGTTCAGGTCAGCTTACAGACACTTTCCACCTTCATGTGAGGAGAGAAGAAGCTGCTCGTTTGTCCTTCGTCAGTCCTGGTGTCTGTGAGCGTTTGATCTGAGGACGCCGTCACATCCTCATAACTTCAGAGTGACGTCAGGACCAGTCTGACCAGGCACCTAGTCAGTGCAGATTTCACACAGATCACATGATGGTCCTAATCACAGCCTATTATCATAGTGTAAATGGCTCAGACAACAATACTACTTTAAACATGTACTTGACTTTGGTGAGAGTCCTTGTTGCAGTCATATCCTTAGGCAGAGACATGCAGAGGATTTTAGAGGGGCAGGGCCTCAAACTCACAAAAGGACAGTTTATCTTTAAACAAATAAATATGCTTCTAAAATATTGACCTTTATGACACTTGGAGATATGTACTCAGAGAAAACTCATGAGACTCAGGGTAGTCTAAATACTGATACAGGACAGTTAATAATGATGCATCCATATCATTTCTATGAGCCATTTCTGGAGTCAAGATTCAGCAGAATTTGTCGGCTAATTTTCCTCTTTATTAGGAGTCAGTGATGATACAAGTAGAAACATGAAAAAAGAGCCCGCTTTTTCCCCTCGAATTTTATCTGTTAAACTGAAAAAAAAGAGTTTTTCTGCAGTAAGACGCTCCAACTGACACACGGGACTCTGAGGATATTTGCGGTTTTATCAATGTAGCGCCTTTAGCCTGATCGGAAGAACACACTACGACACCTACAATCTCTCTAGTTTAGGAGAGCTGGTAATAGTTATTCAAACACAGTAGCATGAAGTTAACAGTTTATTGCCACAGGTAGGTAGGTCATATTTTGTAGTGTATGAAAATGAAAGATACAGAAAATAAAAAATAGAGCTCTTTCAAAAAGGGTGAAAAATAATAAAAATAATAAATTAATAAAATCATTATGTTTTCCAGGAATCGAGTCACAAAGTGGAGAGCCACGTCTTCCAAATATTTCGCTTCTACACCTTCGGCCATATGAGGAAGAGCACTGACTACTATATGCTCCGGTCCAATTCACAGTACATCAGCTGTTGATCTACATCCCCTTACCCGTCACCTCTGGGTACCTGCAGCTCCTCTTCCTCAAGAGTCTCTTTGTCAGCGGGACAGGCAGTGAGGAGGAGAAACCCCACTGCTGACCGAAGCAGAGGGATTTACAGTGAGGATGGGCAGAAATAACCAGTCTTTGTAGAAGATGAAAACAGGACTCAGATGGCCGTTATTCTTTGGTATTTTATTTGTGTACTTGGATGTCTTTACGCAGCATGAATAAACCTCACTGCTGGATGATGATGTTAAATATTAGAATAAAATAGAATAGAATAGAATAGACTTTATTTGTCATTGCACAAAGCAACGAAATTTCGTTGTGCCATCCTGAATTAAAAAAGAACAAGAAAAAGTACAACAATGCATACATTTGACAGCATTCATCCATGTTAAAAGACATATTTAAAACATAAAGATGTTGATCAACATTGACCATCATGTCACTGTAGTAGTGCTGCAAACGTGGACCCATACTGCACTGTTAAATAAGAAGTAATTGCACGTAGTCTCATATTGCACTGTTAAATGAGGAGTGATTGCACATAGTCCCATATTGCACTGTTAATAAATAAATAAATGAATGAATGAATAGAGGGTCACATTATTGCATTTATTGGCCTGACATTAAGTTCAGTTATGGCTCTGTGAAAGAAACTGTTTTTGAGTCAGAAGGTGCAGGCTCTCGGTGCTCTATAGCGCCTCCCTGAGGGTAGCAGAGAGAACAGGTGATGACTGGGGTGGTGGATGTTTTTCATGCATTCGTCCTGTTTCTTCTCTCACGTGTCTAAGGTGATTAATGATTAATGCAGGATCAGACAAACCCTTCACATGTAAATTATGACTCATTTTGGTTGTTTTTCAAAAAAATCTTTAATTTCTCCTTAAAGTATTTTTTTACAATATTTTTTCACGTCAAGTTGGTCAAAGTTTGCATTTCTTTTGGGATCACAGCAAGCAGTTATAGATTAAAAATCACTGTAAGCACCATTAACTGGTAATAAATTTGTTTGTATTATGTTGAAAGGCAGAATATGTGTGAGTTCAGAGGGGAACGTATTTCTTCTTAGTCTTGAGAATTATTCAGTTTTTGCTCCTGTATTTTATTTTTTATTTTTGTATGAGTTGTTGCTGTTTTAGACTTGATTTTTTGGCAGAAAGTAAAGGCTTTTTTTGTGAAGTTTCCTGACGTCATTAAATGAGTGTGGCAGGGTTACACGATCAAATGCAGTGCGACGTTGGCCTGTGGATGTAGGTTACTGAGCCGTCTCTACGAGTAAAGAAAGGTGGGCCTCAGTGTTTAGTGAAACAAGTCCAAATGCAGAGAACCAAAGACAGATGATTGTGTCACCCAGCTTTCTTGCTAGTTAGCCGACCGGGAAGACGGTTGTTTTAGTTTATATGCTAAATGAGCAACATTAGTCACACATCTCATCGAATCATTCCGCATAAAATAGTTCCAGCACGTTATACTTCTCTGTGTTGGGCAGAGGTTTGTTTGTTCCCACTCCAGTGCAGTTAGCATGCGAAATCTATCATTTAAGCCATAGATATAAATACAAACGGCAAATGGCTTATGCACGCTGTTAGCCAATAGAGACGGACGTCCTTGCTGCGGGACGCTTGCCCACTCATAATGTTCCAGTCCACGGTGCATGTAGCATTTAAATAACCATAGATTGATTAATTTTAAACTGATTTTCAAACGGTTTGGTTTGTAACAAACCTCAAAGTTTTAGTTATGTTCCTGCATTCTCAAGAATAATTTTAACCATGGATTTTCATTAATAAACATTAAGCAGATAGGTAGAGCAATCGCTATAGGCCTACACGCACAAGGCAGTTATATTAAATCATTTATATATAAAACATTTAATCATTCCATGTATGTTATATTAGTAATATTTCTATGATAGGGATAACTATAATAACATATAACAATAACACATTTAAATATTTATTTTCAATATAAATTTCTACCTCATGTTGCCATTTTAGATGTTTTTTAACAAACCAAACAATTTGGAAACCATGTGCAACTTCAGTCATGTTGAATCAAAAGAGCATTTTTGCCTCTTTAACTGATGTAAAATTACTGGGTCAACTTTGTAAAATGTACTTGGTCTCACTCACAGTGAGTCTGTTAGCCAAGTTGTAAGCTGATAAACACAAGCACATCCATTAAGAATGACACTTAGACTAAATAAATAAAAATAAAATTATAGGCTGTCATACAAGAAATTAAAATCTCAATTGTGGTCTCAGCCTTGACAACTCACGCAAAGCGACTCAAGGTCAGCTCTTGCGCACAAATAGCTGTGAAACTACTGTGCTGCACAATAAAGCCTTTTTTTTTCTAAAAGAAAATATGCCGTTTCAATATGTCCAAGCATCCTGAGTCATAGCCACATTATTAAAGTCTGTAATAAACAAAACCATTTGTAAATCTGTCAAGATTTCAGCGAGTTAAGAGTGTTTTTGATCATACAGACGCAGATAAGATGGCCGCCGTGTAGGGACGCCGGTGACTCCGCCTCGAGTTATCTAGCCTTTCTTATGTATATCTATGCGCACACATCTTTCCCCATTGACTCTCGTTACAACTTTGACATGCGCAGTTCGTTCCTCTTCAATACAGCGGGGCGCAGTTTGACTGTGCCCTCCTGTCTCCGTCTAGTTCAGGGGTCGGCAACCTTAAACACTCAAAGAGCCACTTGGACCAGTTTCCCACAGAAAAGAAAACACAGGGAGCCACAAAACCTCTTTGACATCTAAAATGAAGATAACATTGCATATATCTTTTTTTTAACCTTTATACAAAGTATATAAAAAACTGTAGCGAGTTGCATTTATGAAATAACTAACTATTTCGGCGAGTGTCTGTCTTCTTCTGTAGTTAAACCGCAAGATATCAAAATCTACCCGGATACAGCAATGCTGCTTTTTGATTGGCTGTTCAGTAGCTATACTTTATTTGATTGGCTTGTGCGTGGCACGCAGCTTCTGAACTCTCAGAGGAACTCGGTTGATTTCCCCCAGTTCCATAGTGGAAGAAGTGCAACTTGGTGGACATCACCGTGTTCATTTAAATGCGTGAGAAATACAATGTGTGGTGTGTGAGCGTGTGAACGAGTGGGAATGCGTGTGTCATACGCTGAATGCGTGAGACTTGAGAGCCCTGTGCTCACGCATCATCGATGCACTCCCGAGCCATGCAAAACGGTCTTTGCAAATGTTGCACTGAACGCCTTCCTTTTCAGTCTCGGTAAAGTTTTCCCACACCACTGATGTTTTAGGTCGGGATTTGGGTTGGGTTGTGTCCATGTTTTTCTCAGCCGCTGCCTCGGCCATGGCTGTTTCTTTTCTGTGCGTCCTGCTGATGTTTACACGCCGGTGTCCATGGACATATATAAAGACCCGACGAATCGATTACAGAATTTGTTGGCAACGGATTTTTTCGTCACGACGAATCTACTTAATCGATTCGTTGTTGCAGCCTTAATAGTTTATTTAATGTTACAAGAGCATTATAATCTTTGAATTTAGAATTACAAAAAAATAATAATAATAAAATAAAATAAAACGCAATTAAGTATTTATTATTTATTTTCCAAATCCATTGGGAGCCGCAGCTTAGGGAAGAAAGAGCCGCATGCGGCTCCAGAGCCGCGGGTTGCCGACCCCTGGTCTAGTTACTTTTACTTTACTGCTTTTCACCACCGGCCATGGGGTGGCAGCAGAGAGCGAGCGGTTGCCTTTAAAGAAAACCACCAAGCGAGCGATGTAGAGCACAAAGTGTCGCCGGAGTCACAGAAAGAGAAATGGAGAGAGAAAATTCAGTACAGTCAATGAAAACAATGCTGTTTGAGAGGAGAACACTGCAGGAGGAATGTAGATTGAAGGAGCTTGGAACTGACCGGCCGGACGTATTAATTACACGACAGTCCGAAGACAAAGAGAGGAGATTTTCGTGGTCTTTTTCACGGAGCTGGTATGAGAAGATATCTTGGCTAACCGGATGCTAACTCTAAACCTTGTCTGCTTGTCCAAACCAAGGAAACTGATCAAGCCTGGATTCAGACAGGTATGCATATTTATTCGTTCTTGATTTATTTATTGATGGAAAAGGAGATTTTAAGGGTTTGTGTGTACCAGTTATATCCTATCTGGAGCAAAAGATATCAAACACTGGGGAGATAAATTCAAATTCAATAACTGATAACATTTACCTACATTTAATTATCTATTTGACTCAGCAGGAGTGCTTAGATGTACCCTAGTTAGTAGTTAAACATAGTGACAGCACATAAAATGGTTGTGAACATAATGTACATCAATTCTTGTGTTTTAGCATTGCCGTCTCTGCTTTTTGGTTTGGTAAATAAGTGTGGCCCTCCCAAGAGAAAAACCAGCCGCCACTGGTTAAGACACAACTTTCATTAATAGTATTTTACTAACAGTGAAAGGTATTGTCTGGGGCTGTTTTTCCTGTCCAAATCATAACTGGTGTTCCAGTGACTCTGGTGAAATTTCAGTATTCATGTCTTGTATCTCCAGAGAAATCCAAAAGACTTAGTGGCATCATTTTAATTTTAACATATAAATAATCTGAAACCAACAAAAGAGGTCAGAAACAGAAACTTTTTCACAAAACGTGAAAATTGTGCTCTAAAATAGACTTTGACTTTCTTTCTTTCTTTCTTTCTTTATTTATTTATTTGATTTCTCTCTGCAACGAAATGCCGTTGCTTGGCTTCCATATCAGCATATACAGCATGATGTTTAATTTAATATACAAAAAAAAACTAAGGGTAAAATAGCAGCATGGTGAGAAATATTGCACTTTCTGGAGGTAGAGTGGTAGTGTAATAAAAACCAAATCAATAAAATATAAAAAGACATATGTTCTTATCTACACATAATAGCTATAGTTCTGGTATGTTTTTATTACAATAGCCAGCACCTCACCTTTGTTCTAAGATTTGGTGTCTGAGACCCACTTCACTATGTAATATGCTCCAAAGTTGATAGTCTTTCATGCAGAAAACACACTGTCAAAATTTAGATCTAAATTTAAAAGCAGGGGCGGCTGGTCAATAGAGGGCGCTAGGGTGCCGCCCCTCTGTCTCAACATGTAGAATCACACTGCCATAGATGTATAAGAAAGGCATATTTATGCACACAGCCCTTTCATTTAATAAAACGTCTTTTTCATTACTTTTACATGCATAACCCATGTTTCAAAAAGGCAAATTGAATAATATAGTCTGAAGAGAGGGAATTGAAAGGTATAATTTGCACTAAAAGTCAGTTTAGAAATGTTCTTCGTTGCCGACAGTTACTAATAGTTGACATATATGACGGCCAGAGGCGAACACATCATTCCTAATTGACTCTTGTTACAACTTTGACATGTGCAGTTCTGGACGACTGCAACTCTTTGTTCACACGTCTGAACCAACAGAGTTTACACAAGTTACAGCTGGTCCTGAATGCAGCAGCTCACCTCCTAACTAGAACCAGAACTAGAGATCATACAACTCCTATTTCTGTCACACTCTGCTGTGTATCTCAGGCTGACTCTCACTCACCTGCCACACCTCACCCCTGCCACACCTCCTCATCAGCACTGATTCCCCACACCTGTGAGTGACAAGCTGCAGCTCCTCACTGCTGATTAGCCAGCCAGCATTTAAGTCACTCTGTGTCCCTCAGTCAGTGCCAGGTTGTCTTCGCAGCATGCACGACTCTCCAGCATTACTTCTTGGATTGACTTCTCGGTTTCGACTCCTGCCTGTCTCTGACCACGTCTTATCGTCTCAGCCCTTGGATCCCATGTCAAGTTTCTTCGCTCCGGTGAGAACTTCAGGTTTTGCTGTGTTGCTGGCTTCCCGACCTACTGCCTGTCCACGACTATCCGTTCGTCTGATCCCTCTGGAATTTGTCTGCCTGGATTCGACATTGCCTCCGCTTCGACCACGAGCTCTGCCTGCCCCTCGACAGTGCCGCTGCACTTCACAAAGACTCTCAGGTGTAGTGTGTTTTCTGTGTGCACTCACCTTTCTGCATGTTGGATCTGTTTCCTGTGGATCTGTTTTCTGTTGGACTTGGAGATTCTACAGAGACTGCTAAATCAATCCCAGTATCTTCAGTTTCCTGTTTGCTGTGATCTGTTGCAATAAAAATAGCTTCTAAACCACTACCTGCTGTTGTGCTGCACTTGGGTCCTACATCCACACCCCTGACAATTTCAGCTTTACTACATCGGCTCCTGGTAAGTTTTAGAATTGATTTTTAATATTCAGATCCATCCAATAACATCATTAATATCCATTTGATTATTAGTAAGAAATAAACTGAGACAGCTGTTAGAATATAGATTTCTTTATTGAGTTCATATTTCATAAACGTCTGTGCATCAATTCTTACACCTGTATTACTCCTCTTGAATTTTTCACCCTTCTTTTTTTCATTCATTGTGATTTTTCTCTTTGATTTGAGTTTTAATGATCTCTAAAGCAGGTTTGTTGGTTAAGAGGTGACGTTCACTTTCTCTTCTGTTTACAGTCTGCTGCTCCAGCTCCAGATTTTCGTGTGTGTGTGTGTGTGTGTGTGTGTGTGTGTGTGTGTGTGAGAACAAGCCTGCAGTCTCATGAGGACTTGACTTTCATCAGTTTAAACACAGGTGTGAACACCTGTGCAGGTAAAGAAGAGTTTCAGGAGTCTGACTCTGACTGTTCAGACAAACTTTCTGATCAATACAATGAAGAAAAATGTGCTGAATGAGGCGGATTTTTCCCCCATAAAGACAGAAATCAGTCCAGTTCAGTGAGCCAGTTTGACATGGAGTCCTGCTCTTTGATAACAGATATTCAAACTGATGTGACAGGATGCAAACAGTCTGATAATCAGCTGAAGTCTGTGTTAGTGCAGAGGGTCGACTGTTCTTCAGCTGCTGTTTGTGTAGAGAGGAGGAGACTCTCCCTCCTACAAAGAACACAAACGCACTGAGGAACCAGGAAACCAGATCCCAAACCCAGGATAGAGAGGTTGAGTGAAGGTCGTGTTGAAGGTGTGGAGGTGGATCAGTGTGTCAGAGGAGACGCTGTAGAAAGACAGAGTGCCAGCAGAACAGTCCACATACACTGCTACTCTGGGAGAGACAGAGGACGAGGGGAGATGGAGATCTGTTTCTATGCTATCGTGATGGACAGAGTAACCTCCATCAGAGCAGGTCAGACTCCAGGACTGATCATTAGATCCAAACACACAGTCACGACTCTTTCCTTTCCTTCTGATTCCTCTGTAACTCACTGACATATGAACCTTTCCTCTCCACTCGACCTCCCAGTAACAGCGACCAGTCAGACCATCTCTACACAGAAGCTGAGGACAGAAGTCAAATCTGTCTGGATGATTAGGATATGACTGATCCTCTCCCACATTTGTCACTCTCCTGTTGTTTTCAGACAGTCTGAGGCGTCCGTTTACTGTGTTTGAGTCCAGTGTGAGTTCACAGAAATCTGACAGAGAGAAAAAGACACAACACAGCAGCAGGTTATCATCAGACACACCTGAAGGCTTTCTTCTTTGTTAGTCTGCTGTTTGGTCATCAGTAGTCAAACTGATTCCACACTTACACTTCTTCAGACCAGGTTTTAACCACTGCTCTCCACCATGGTCCACCCTGGAGGAAGAAACACAGTCAGAATGATTGAGTGTCCAACATGAGTCCTACCTGCTGTCCAACATGAAGCAGAGTTCCTCGGTTTGTCCCTGTGACAGAGAAACAAGCTGAAACTCATCTGAGCCAACAGTCTCCATCACTCTGTCACTTTTTCTGATTCTTTCTGACAGAAACTCACAGAAAAACAACAACAACAAGATTCAAAGAGCAAAAACTGGCTGTTGGTCTGTCCTACAACATGGAGACTTGATTTGGACCCTTTGGAAAAAGACCTTCATTTCTTCTTTTAGGGCAGCTGTCCACACTTTGGTCTAAAAAGCTCCTTCTAAATAGACTTGAAAGCTTGTCTGCAGATAGAGAGATGAAGTAGTGGGCTCTCTTCTTCTAAATATGAATGAAGATGAAATGAAAGCTCTCAGATGAACTCATGTGAGTGTGTGAGGCTCTTCTTGGATTATTCAGAGTCAGCTAGAGCAGAGGGAGTAGGAGCATCACACCTGGAACAGCAGGTGGATTTCCTGCAGTTTGGGATGGACAGGAAGTTGAGACAAAGTCAGTGCATGTCCTCAAACAGCCCCTCAGCTTACCTGATCATGACTGACAGGTCTGCTGCTGCTCTCACTGAATGTAGCTGTGCCAGTAAAGCAGTAGAGCTCAGCTGATGAAGCTCAATGAAGACTATCTGATCTCCTTTGAACCCACTTCTGCAGCCAGTTCTTTGAGTCCATGTTTCTGACTGAGGGTGGATGTATGAAGGAGGTGTTTCTCTGTAGCTCTGAGGGTTTGTTTGATGGCTCACCAAACAAAGAGAGCAGAAAATCAAGAAGAGAAGACCTTCCCATGTCAGCCAGGAGAGTTGATCCTGGTCTGTATGGATGAATGAGATAAAGGATCTGGAGGAGATCTGAATGTTGTTCTGCTCTGATCATTAAACTAGATGTGAACCTTCATCTTGTAACATCAGGTGTAATAAAGCATCTTCTCTGAGTTCTGACGTGGGCTAAAGCACTGTCAAATGTGTTTAGAACTTCAAATATGAGCCCATCTCTCTCCTGATCATCTCTGTTTTTAGTCTGTGTGTCTGTTCATCAATCAGGGAGCTGAGAAATGACCACAGAGTCACAATATCCAGCTTTGGACCTCTTTCCACCTGGAACACTGGACAAGTTCTATTCTTCCTCATCCTCCATCATCTTCACCTCCCTGCAGACATCTTCATGTAATGGGCCAGGTTATAACCAATCAGAGAGCTTGTTTCATGACTCATCTGCATTGTTTTAAACTATTGATTAGGGAATACATTCATGTGTTTTTAAATATTAAACTTTTGTACACTTTTAAAGATTTATTTGTAGAATCTTTTTATAATTTCCTCTATTTGTTCATGCATGAACTCATGAATTTGGAAATACTTTATTAATTCCTGTTTTAATAGTACCATAACTTTTTTAATTACAGAAACTTTATTTTAATTTCTGCGACCCTTGTGGTCCTCCATAAAGAGCATTTAAGAATGGTTCAACCACCACGTCCTCCTTTGAGACCATGAGAGGAGGAGACCGAATGACAGACACATCAGTCTGATTCAAAGTCGTTTCTCATCAACTGTTTGAGTTTTTTTATTCAACACCTACGCTCTGTCAGTGATCAGATACCCTGCTGGCATCATAGCCTGGCCAATGGAAGAAATAGAGACCACTGACATTGTGACAAGAAAGCTCCTCAAAATACTAAAATTGAGGTTTTCACCCTAAATCCAGAACCCTGAGTATCTACACAAAGCGGAAGGAGGGAGGCTGAGAACTAGTGAGTATCAGAGCTACAATCCAGGATGAGACAGTTCACATCCAAGAGTCCTTCAGAAAGATGGTCCACAATGTGCTAAGTGAAGATCTCAGGCAGCAAAAACCAAATATATTTGTAGTTGTCTGTGCCTCGGTAACTGTCTGGTTATACCTCAGTTTATCCAGTCTCCATAGAGGATCCTCGAGTCCAGCAGAAATCCGTTTTACTCCTGAGTCTCCTGGATGATTGTAGCTCAGGTCCAGCTCTCTCAGGTGTGAGGGGTTGGAGCTCAGAGCTGAGGCCAGAGAAGCACAACCTTCTTCTGTGATCAGACAGCCTGATAACCTGGAGTCAGAAAAAATATGTGAAACAAGAAAAAGTGTACCAACTTGAGACAATTTCATCCTAACAACTACAAAACTCAATCAGCAAAAAACCTGACCTGAGAGTTTCCAGTTTACAGTGAGGACTCTTCAGTCCAGCAGACAGCAGCTTCACTACTGAATCCTGTAGGTCATTATGACTCAGGTCCAGCTCTCTCAGACTGGAGGACCGGGAGCTGAGGACTGAGGACAGAGCTTTACAGCTTCTCTTGGACAGGTTACATCTAGTCAACCTGAACAGACATAGAGATATTAGGACAAAAAAGCTCTCATGTTTTATTGATAATTAAAGGTAGTGTATGCTTTTGCTTTATCAGACATATCGTAATCTTTAAAAAAAAAAATTCCTATTTCTTTTAATTAATCATATTACCAAATTTGACTGACTTAACCATCCCTCTCGATTGGACCCAACTTATATAATATTAAAAGAACTGTAAGTAGCTCTCTGTTGTAATGGTGCTTGTGTTTCTGTGGTTTTGAACTCTGACAGAGTAAAGTTTTATGTTCAACATTATACAGACCGGAGAGTTTCCAGTTTACAGTGAGGACTCTTCAGACCAGCAGACAGCAGCTTCACTCCTGAATTCTGCAGGTCATTGTTACTCAGGTCCAGCTCTCTCAGACTGGAGGACCGGGAGCTGAGGACTGAGGACAGAGCTTCACAGCTTCTCTCTGACAGGTTACATCCACTCAGCCTGAAGAAGATTCAGTGATTAGCACAGACACAAAGTTTCATCTCTCATGAACAATAATGTTTCATCTCTCATGTGTCCACCTACAGAGCTTTGTTGGAGGCTTTGACCACTGGCAGCAGCCTCAGAACAGCCTCCTGTGAAGCAGAGTATTTCTTCAGGTCAAACACGTCCAGATCTTTTTCTGATGACAGTAAGATGAAGACCAGAGCTGCCCACTGAGCAGGAGACAGTTCCTCTGTGGAGAGACGTCCTGATCTCAGGGACTGTTGGATCTCCTCCACTAGAGAACGATCATTCAGTTCATTCAGACAGTGGAACAGATTGATGCTTTTCTCTGCAGACAGATCCTCACTGATCTTCTCCTTGATGTACTGGACTGTTTTCTGATTGGTCTGTGAGCTACTTCCTGTGTGTGTCAGCAGACCTCTCAGGAGATTCTGATTGGTTTGCAGAGAAAGGCCCAGGAGGAAACGCAGAAATAAATCCAGGTGTCCGTTCAGACTCTGTAAGGCCTGGTCTACAGCACTCTGATGGAGATGTTTCGGTTTTGGTTTGACACTGAAGATTTTGGAGATTGAAGATGTTGTTTGTTGTTCTTCTTCCATCAGGTTGACTCCAGAGTTGGTGAAGGTCAGGTGGACATGAAGAGCAGCCAGAAACTCCTGAACACTCAGATGGATGAAGCAGAACACCTTGTCCTGGTACAGTCCTCTCTCCTCTCTGAAGATCTGTGTGAACACTCCTGAGTACACTGAGGCTGCTCTGATATCCATGCCACACTGAGTCAGGTCTGATTCATAGAAGATCAGGTTTCCTTCCTGCAGCTGCTCAAAAGCCAGTTTTCCCAGAGACTTAATCATCTTCCTGCTCTCTGGACTCCAGTGTGGATCAGTCTCAGCTCCTCCATCATACTTGATGTTCTTCAGTTTGGACTGAACCACCAGAAAGTGGATGTACATCTGAGTCAGGGTCTTGGGCAGCTCTCTTCCCTCTCTGGTCTTCAGCAGATCCTCCAGAACTGTAGCAGTGATCCAGCAGAAGATCGGGATGTGGCACATGATGTGGAGACTTCTGGATGTCTTGATGTGTGAGATGATTCTGCTGGCCTGCTCCTCATCTCTGAATCTCTTCCTGAAGTACTCCTCCTTCTGAGGGTCAGTGAATCCTCTGACCTCTGTCACCATGTCAACACACTCAGGCGGGATCTGATTGGCTGCTGCAGGTCTTGTGGTTATCCAGAGGCGAGCAGAGGGAAGCAGGTTCCCCCTGACGAGGTTTGTCAGCAGCACATCCACTGAGCTGGACTCTGTAACATCAGTCAAGACCTGATTGTTGTGGAAGTCCAGAGGAAGTCGACACTCATCCAGACCGTCAAAGATGAACACGACCCTGAAGTGTTGAAAGCTGCAGATTCCTGCTTCTTTGGTTTGAGAGAAGAAGTGATGAACAAGTCCCACCAAGCTGAACTTCTTCTCTTTCAGCACATTCAGCTCTCTGAAGGTGAATGGAAATGTGAAGTGGATGTCCTGGTTGTCTTTGTCTTCAGCCCAGTCCAGAGTCCACTTCTGTGTTAAGAAGGTTTTCCCAATGCCAGCCACTCCCTTTGTCATCACTGTTCTGATTGGTTCCTGTCTTCCAGGTGAGCCTTTAAAGATGTCTTCTTGTCTGATGGTTGTTTCTGGTTGCTGTACTTTCCTGGATGCTGTTTCAATCTGTCTGACCTCATGTTCATCGTTGACCTCTCCAGTCCCTCCCTCTGTGATGTAGAGGTCTGTGTAGATCTGGTTCAGAAGGGTTGGGTTTCCTGCTTTAGCAATCCCCTCAAACACACACTGGAACTTCTCCTTCAGGTTGGACTTGAGTTTGTGTGGGCACTCTGCAGCAGCAGATCCTGAATGAACAAAAAGAAATGTGATGAATCATCTGAAGCTACAATCAGTCTGATGAATTTACACTTGAGGACATCAGGATGGATTTGATTTCCCTCCTCTCTGAAATCTCTTCAGCTCATCAGCTGTGATCAGTTTCTCTCAGTTCATAGATGTGATACAAATGTGTGCATCTTATGAACAGCAGAGTCTGAACTCTAAACCTCTCCCATGTTGTCTCCATCATGTTAAATCTCTTCAAATCCTCTTACTGCTCTGCAGACAGTCAGCCAGCTCCTCCTGCTTCATTCTCCTCAGGAAGTTCAAAGTGATCTTCAGAAATGCCTCTCTGCTCCTCCTCTGCTCTTCATCCTCATCCTTCCTCTGACTCTCTAAGTATTCTGGTTCATTAGGAGTCAGAACTCTCTGGATCTTCTTCAGCTGCTCCTTTACAAAGTTGATCATGTTCTCCTGGAGCAGCTGGAACAGAACAAAACGTGAACTTGAACTTGTAGAACTGAACATCAGATCATCTGTGACAGACAGAAAGCCTGCTGGTCTGCAGAGTCCAGCATGGAGACTGGATCACAATGCTGCTTCAGGATTGACTTTGTAGATGGTCCTGTCTTCCACAAATCCAGTTTCTATGACCTGACCTTCATATTGGAGAAATCTCCTGGTGTGGTTTCATGGAGAAAAAGTCTGCAGTGACTTTAGAGGTGATGTGTTTATTAGAATGAAGCTGAAAGCAGCAGCTGTCATCGACATGAACCAAAGTCTTTCTGTTCTTTAAAGGGGACCTGCCATCAAACTTTCATACTCATTTCAATCATTTTTTCATAATCCTTGATGTCCTCTGATCATGTTTGCAACATAATTTTAGCTGAAAAGTTATTTGATGGTTTGTTTTAGTATGCCTAAAAAACCTTACAGGAAAACCAACTGGTTTTGGCTCATTAACATTTATGGTAATGAGCTTTGCTCTGATTGGATCGCTGCTGTGAAGCCTGCTGTGCTCCGATTGGTTCAGCAGTGGAGGTTCGGATTTCGGTTTATCCATTTTGCTAATGTGTGCTAAAGTAAGGTGCCCAGATGTCTGTAATGATATCCAGGGACATTCAGTGCAGCGGCGGAAGGGAGAGTGCAGGGGCTGCAGGGGCTTCGTGATCACAGACAAAATCTCTATGCTGTTTAGTAGCAGCGCACGCCCCTTGTAATAACCCCCGTAAGAACTGTTGTTCAGGACTGCTAACTTGTGCTTCCTACTCATTCGGCTACTGTAATAACCGTTGTTCGAGCCCACACGCAACATTTTTGCTCTCATTCATGAAACGCTTAAATCGGGGACATTTTCGGGGACAGCTTTTGCCGGGAACAGGTCATCCAATACGGGGACTGTCCCCTGAAATCGGGGACGTCTAGTCACCTTATGCTAAAGGCTAAAAATGGCAGGTATTAAACCATATATTTTAGACCCCGAGTCCGAAGAGGAGGTGGAAGTTGAAGAAGAAGCCGGAGATCTCCAGCGGTGTTTTCTCATTCATTCTGCCCAGCTTTAAGTTCATTTTCCCGGCAGTGAACCCAAGGAAACACCGGGCGTTTGGAAGAGACCCATAGCGGATACAGTGGTAGCTGGGTCTCGCTCTGACTGTGAATGAGTACGAGAATGAGAGAGTGGGCGCGGCCCACCGAGGACGCGCTCGTGAATAATAATGAGCAAGGTCAGCGTGACGTCAGAAGGACCTGCTTTTTGGTTTATCCGTTTCTTTATTTTAAACCTTTACAGAATGCAAAGGACGTAACAGTTTATTTTCACATTTACAACTTAAGACGAACATAATATGGACCTTATCTGACACAAAAAACACACAAAATTACATTTTTGATGGAGAACCTCAAACTGGACTCAGTTTGTGAACTCTGCTCTCTGCTGCCAAAGTCTGAGTCCTTGTGAGACCACCATCCACCATGACCTCTGACCTCTGATTCTGTTCAGGTCATTAATGTGAGGCTTCATTCAATCAGTCAAACTGTGAGTGTGAAGATAATTCAGGCAGAGATGATGTTTGCAGAGTCATTAGGAAACAATCCAGAAACCTCCAAATATACTGATGATCAGTAGGAGCTGTGTTTGTACATTTACACCTACCATAAATATGGAGTCCAGCTGTGTTTGATGATGCTGGGCAGACTGACCAATGGGAACCTCTGATCTCTGCTGCTGAACTCTGTGGAACAAACAGAATCTATTGAAGTGGATATAATATAAGGAGACACAGGGTTACATGTGAGAGAGTCTATCTAGTGGATCCTGGTAGAAACACTGCTGGATCCTCCTACAGACACAGGACACACATGAAGATACATGCAGAGTCCAGGTCTTTCTGGCTCAGATCCTGTTTACTGCTGTTGGATCCTGATAGAAACACAAACCCTGAAAAATCTTCACCTTCACAGAGAAAACACTGACCACAGTTAGGATGAAAAGTTTCACACACAACAAAAGAAAGTTCAGTTTGAAAGGCTCACCTTTGTTCATCACAAATCTTTCCTTCTTTGAAATCAGTAAGTCTGAACATTGACCCGTCACTTTTTAAGGACACACAGCTGGGTCCAGGTCCAGGTCCAGGAGAGTCTGGTCTCTCATGTTTGACTCTGACAGAAACACAAACACTGATGAAAAAACAAGAACACTGAAAATCTTCAAGGTTTAAGTGCTGCTGTTATAGATGATTACTTTTGACGATCAGACTGAGGTCCAATTTTGAAATCAATATATTGACCCTGAGACTGGTCACTCTTGAAGGACACACAGCTTGGTCCAGGTCCAGAAGAGTCTGGTCTGTACTGCCATTCAGGTCTTAGACAGACAGACAGACAGACAGAGGTCTGAGTGTGAATAATAGTGATGGTGGAGTGATATGAGTGCTGAACTCTGTCATGGAGAAGAGTCACGGACAGTTGGAGATCCTCATCTCACCTCTGAGCTTTTGGTCTGGCTCTCATGTTCCCCCACAGAGTGGTTTTAGAGGGAGGGGCTCCCTCCTCTCTGTCCTCACGCTGATTCATAGCAGAGCCCCCACCTTCACACAAACACAACAACATGGTCACTACAACCGGAGCCACATACTGTCCTCTACCACAGTGTCGTTCCAGATTCTACCACTAGATGGAGCCACAGTTGTTTCTGTTTACTAGAGCGCTCATCTGGATCCATTCAGAGTCCAGTTCTGTTCAAAATGAAGACATGGGCTGTGTCCGAAATGGCATACTGCCTGCTATCTACTTACCTACTCAAGCAGTAGCTACTGCCTACTGACTACTCAAAGATGATTTGAGTATGCCGCGGCTGCCCGAGCGTTTACACACATACATACTAAATACCCCAGAATGCATTTCGTGCCGGCCGGACGCAGCGCCGGGAAAATTTAAATAGTCCTACCACAAGCTACATAGAACGACTGCATCCCGGACAAATTATATAAATTCATTCAATAATAATATTTTTTCTAGCGAGAAAGTAAGTGTTTACATCACGATTATGAGCCCAGTTGTTTGAAATAGTGGCTGTTTGTAAATTTGTCTCGGCGTTTTCGGAGACCGAAACGTCCGTTTGGTGGGTGTTTGCGTCTATTTACCGTAGACATCGGGCAGCAGCAGCTCCCCCTTCACGTTTCCAAATTATTGCGAAGTGTTTTCATAATCAACATCAACACGACACAAACCGAGCGGCAGTGGATGGAAAAAATCACACAAACATCTGTGTATCCATGGTGATAATGCTATACACCACCTGCTAGGCGTGTGATGAGCAGCAGAGGGCTGCAAAATGACCAACACACAACATAATTATTATGACCTCGTTCGGTTATTCCTTGGCAAATACATCATTTCCCGACTACATTCTTTTCATGTACAATGATTATTTCAGAAACCATCAGATTTTCAATCACAAGGAAGAATTAGTAAAGCTCACATACATTGTCAACTGGAAACTCCCCCGCTTGTATATTCTGAACCATGTGCTCTCTGCCAATAATAATTTTTATTAATTAGAGGTCTGTGCTTAATATGAGCGACCACTTTGATGATGCATTCAGAGATGAGAAGATGCTCAAACTTGTTGTAATAAATACATCTTTAATAGACACTTAAATAAATAAAGTCAATTCATACGAATAGTTAAAAACATTACCTATAATCCTAATTTAAAATACAAATAAATCTGGTAAAAAGATCAAAATACGATAAAATGATGAAAATTGTGTAATGTATACTGACTAAATATTGTTTATCTATTTATATATATATATATATATATATATATATATATCATTATTATTGCAATCACATGCCATCTATTTCTTTTCAGCCTCGGGAAGGAGGGCCATATTACCAGCTGAGGTGCGCAATGCATTGTGGGGCAGAAGCAGTACATGAAGCAAGCTCCGTTCCACACTCAGAAATCGAAGCCGATTGAGTATACATCCGGGCATTTCTCGCATACACAAAATTCGCATACTGTACAGTGTGAACGCACTGCCTACTCAATTCAGAGGCGGGGTTAGTAGGAGTAGTAGGAGTAGTAGGCCATTTCGGACACAGCCATGGTAAAACTTTCAGTTTGATGTTTGACAGAATGAAGAAAATACTCACCAGGTGAATCCAGATCCACTTCCTGTTTCACCTGTAGCAGAAAGACAAAGAGGGACACTGCAGCTGATCGTCCTTCATCAGTTCATCATTAATCTGAGGACGCTGTCACACTCTCATCACTAAACAGTCAAAGTCTACAAACACAAACAGACATGAAATCACTGACCAACACCCAGGAACCAGGGTCCAGCTCCAGTCACACTGCAGAGACCTGCTGTCAGGACATGACAGAGAAACCTCAGAGTGATCCAGGATAATATCTGATGTGACTGAGAGTCAAACCTGCGTACATATGGAAACATTCAAGTTCTCCTTTTGTCTGCTCCAGAGAGAACCAACCATGAGAGATCTTCTGACAAGGAGTCCAATTCAACTTTTACTCAACCCCAAATCAAAGGAACAGACTCAGAAAAATGACATGAGGTTCACCTTTGAAATGAAGGACACCAAATTTAATTCACTCTGAAATCAATGTTGCTGCACTGAATCAAACTGTGTGTTCTTTTATTGGTCAATAAGGTTTAAAGAAAAAGGTCAATACTCTGCTCATGTTTAGGATCTGAAACCTTTCAAAGACAGAGAATGGGTTTAAGTACAACATGAAAGCTGCCAATCAGAGCTCAGCTGATGGATGATGGTCATTTTAAAAGCAGCAGACAAAGTTGAAGTCTTTGAAGAAATTGGAGCATTTGTTTGAAACATCAGTTTTTCTGAAACTCCTCAAAGTTCAGTGTTGGATTGAGTTTGCTGATGTGCTTCTATATTTCAGTGCTGTGTGAAAAACAGTGACTGGAGCATGTTTGATAGAAATGATCTGTATATCCATGTCTTGGCATCTCTGCATGGTCTGATTGTATTTCATAAATCAGATTTTCAGTGATATGGACGTTTCATATCTGGTGTTATCTGGTCTGGAGTTTAACCCTCTAATCAGATTGATCAGGGTTGTAAGTCTGAAGTTTTGAATGTTTGATTGTTGAATGAATTCAACCTTGATGTTGCTCATTAACAACAACTCAAATCTGAGAGACTAAATAAGAGGAAATGAGAAAGAGAGTGAAACAGGAGCAAAGAAATAATCTGGACATGCTGTAATAAATATCCTCCATGACTCCAGAAACAGATTATTGTCTGATTAATAACAGTGATTTATTTCATATTGTCATATTTATCATATTCATGCACTTTTTCAGCATCAGAAATGATGAGAAGAGTGTGTTTGGTTACCTAGAAACGTCCACTTGGAAGTGACAGCAGGAGGTTTTCAAAGGCCCAACCATTCACATCCAGTCCAGACTCTCTGCGTTCATCTTCACACTGAAGTCTTCTGGAAGGAAATGTGATCACAGAGCAGCTCTCAACTTTGGACTCAACCACCTGAACACCTGCAGTCAAACATTGACAGACACAATAAACCTTCTCAGAGAGATAAGAGAGGTCTCATGGTGCGCTTTATACTCCCTATCATTGAATGCAAGACATAACAGATATAAGCTGTGAAACAACTTTGCTGCATGATTGTCTTTTTTTTCTCAGAGAAAATCTGCCATTTCAATATGTCCAAGCATCCTGACTTATAGCCACGTTGTTAAGGTCTGTATTAAACATTTTTTGTATTTTTTTTGCTATTTGTAAATCTGTCAAAATTAGTTAGTTTTTTTGATCATGAAGATTACTCACCTTCCATCAGCTACCATAGGGTGTACAAGAATGGTATACTGGAGTAAGATGGCCGCTGTGTAGGGACGCCGGTGACTCACTAGATAGAAAGACTAAATAGCTTACCTACGATGTGAGCCAATGGGAACTGATGTCGTCACACGGCGGCCATCTTACCTAGGGGCTGCTGGCCCACTGATAACATTAATGTCTATGGTGCATGTACTGTTTCCATGACCATATTTTCAAACGGATTGGTTTGTTATAAACGCCAGAGATGTAGTTATGTTTCTGCGTATTTACGGATAATTATAATGATGGACTTTCATATTAAATTAAAAAAGGTGATAGTGGAGCAATACCTGCCATAGCTGCACACATACACACACAGTGAAATTAAATTTTCTGTGTTTTTTATATTAAACATTTAATAGTTAGATATTTTATAGTTCTATTTAATACATTTATTAAATATAAAGGGGTACGTTGACTCACATGATATTTTAAACTTAATCTTAAAATTTTAACAAATAATGAATTTACTGATGAAAAATAATTTTATAAGACATTTACCTTTTTCAAATAGTCTTATTTATTTTCTTTGGGTTATTAAACAATATAAAACAAATTAAAGTTTGTTTTTCAGAACCTTTTAATATTTGCAATTATTAATATCACATTGAAAACTTCTCTTGAATGAGTGTATTTATCAAAAATAAAAGATCATTCTGCTAATTTGAGTAGCAAAGACCTAATAAAAATTCTATAAATTGTGATTCATATTGGTTCAATTTACCCCAATGCCTTTGGTTCATCTAGCCCCATGGCCATTGTTTTGATAAATCCTAATTAATTTAATGCTTCAGAATGATACTTTGCTAGAAGATTCACATAGTTCTATACATTGAATATCACTAACATGCATGATGTATTTTGTACGTTAATAAGGTTTCAATAAACCGAAACGTTTGTAAATCCATCAAGATTTCAGCGAGGTCAGTGCATTCTCACCTTCCATTCACTACTGTAGAGTGTGCGGGAGGAGTCCCCTTAGGTAAGATGGCCGCTCGGTGACGACGTGGGCAAAAGTCCCATCATCCATCTAGTCTGTCTATATATCTATGGCTGGGACACTTACCTTGTAAAGTGACTCATGAAGAATGCGATGCCAATTTTCATTCTTGTATCACCAACTGAACAATTCTGTCCAAAATTTGTACTTGGCCGCTGCACTGTAAGAACGAGAAGCTCGAAGGCCAGTCGAAACTATTTCAAAAATGACTGAAATTAAAGAAAATAAGGTAAAGACTTCACCTTGAATTGCTATGCATACAAAAATAGTTGAAGTTTCAAAACTTGAACTAAGACAATGTTTAAGAACAATCAAACAAAGTGAATGAACATGTGGCATAAAACTAGGCGGGAAATTTTAGAAGAGTAGAAGAAGACTAAGAGCTTAAGAATAAGACACAGAAGCTCTCCACAACCTCAAATTGTGCTCCCTAGCAGAGAGGCGCACTCAACTATGTCTTGATTTTGCCAGAAAGCTGTTCAAGTCCAACTTCAGAAACTGGCTACCCCCACTTAGGAAAGAGATCTCTGGACGACAAACACGGAATGGAGATGACCTGGACACCCCAACATGCCAAACTGAGAGATATAAGAAATCACCAATCCCATATATGTGCAGGCTGTTAAATGAGAATGGTGTTTAGCTTTTTAAGTTTTTAGGTTGTTGCTTCTTAAGCTGCATTTTATATTTGAAGTTTTATTTTTTGTAATCAGCAAAATAATTCAGTGTTTTTAATGGCATCTGTCTTTTTTAAAACATCTGTGATCATACTGAAAGCTGAATAAACATAAACAATAAACAAGCATAAGAGAGTAGAAGAATGAGAGCCTGAGCATCACAACTGCACTGGCTTTTATCAGTACATGGTTGAGCAGGGTTTTATGACAGAGGTCCAGAGGTCAGTGTCCTGCTCCTCAGACTTTTCCTTGGCTTCTGTGTGTTCAGACACTTTAAGACAGTAAATCTCAAATGGGAGAGCTGGGTTGAGGCATGAATGATTATTTAGATGGTCAGTGATGGAATCTGTTTGAGAGGTAATAACAACTCTGTCTCTGTTTTCTGACAAATTGAGCAGAGCCAAAGGTTTAGGTCAACCTCTGGTTGGGTCAGTTAGGTAACCTAAAAGTCCAAACAAGTCTGGAAAGATTAATATGATCCTGTGTCCTGGGACCAGAAAAGGAATCTGTCTTGTGAGGAATGTGTGAATTTGACACCCAGAGTTGTCTTGATGCTACACCTATTAAAATGTGGATCTGAGGAGACAAAACACTAGGGACACTTGCACCAGATGCCTCACGGTCATGTAACCTTAGTCAAGACAGCTCGCTGCTTACCATAAACCAACACTACCACTTTATCAACACTTAATTCTCACAACATAAAATGTTATTTTAAATATTTCTTCATATTTTGACAATATGTTTTTTATATTACAACATGAATTCCCCAACATTGCAACTTCAACCTCTATCGTGACTTCACTATGACTTGATTCCTGTGAGAAAATGTGTGTACTAAAACTTCTCACCTGTAAACCTTTCTGAGCTTCTTCTGTTTACCTCACTGCACCACCTGCCTGTTTGACCACTATGGCATCCAGAGCCTTCAGCCACTCTGCCCCTCAACTCTGGAACTATATATATATATATATATATATATATATATATATATATATATATATATATATATATATATATATATATATATATATATATATATATATATGTATATAAATATATATATATACACACACATATATATATATATACACATATATATACAGTATATATACACACACACACATATATATATATATATATGTATACACTATGTTTTCCTTAGTTTATCAGTCTCTTGTTGACACCATTTTTTTTTACCTACATTGTTTTTATTTACCTTTTTTATTTTCATTATTCATACAGTGATTAGAGTGAGCAGAGCTGCTATAATAATGAGGACACACTGTTTGTAACAGATGATAAGGATACATTAAGGGGAGTTTGTAAACAAAAAGAAATAAATGGAAACATAAAATGAATGACTTTTACCAGTTCATACACAATTCTATAAAAATCCTAAATTTAGCTCTAGCATGGCATACGCATTATTATTCTTATTAAAAGATATTTTTACTGTATAATAAAATATAGGACAAGTAGTGAAGTCAGCCGAAATATATGAATTAAAAAAACAAAACAAAAACAAACAAACAAACGAACCCCATTAGATTTCATTGTTGTGAATAGTTGCTCAAAATTATACATTTTATCCTGTTAAACACATTTTTTGGTCACTTTTATCATAGAATCTATGATAAAGTTCTGTGGATGCCTAATACTACATTTTTTATAGTAAAAACCCTAGAAATATTCTGCTTAGTTTTGATGACACACAGTTTATATGTTTTTGTGGAGCCACATATCATATCTCCCCAATACTGTAAGAAGAAGTGAATGTTGATATGAAGTAAATGTTGAACTATGAGTAAAACATTCAGAGGATGATAATATGATTTTATACTGTTAGCGTTACAGAGAGAAGGTCAGACAGGTGAGCTCTGGCATAACAGGTGAACCTCATCAGGGCGGTACAGAGGTGGGAGATCACAAGAGGGTTGATGAAGGGGGATGATAATGGTAAAGATGTTCATGATGAATTTGTCGGAGGATGGATATGATGATAGCAGAGGATGCAGGGTGCAGATAATGGATGCTGTGGTTGGCTGGTGGTTTTAGGATTGACAAACGAACACCTGTGTGATGCTCTCTTTCCTCCAGGGAAAAACAAACAAACAAACAAAAAATTTTCACATTAAAATCTATGAACATGAGTTAAGAACAAAGGTGAAAGTTCTGTGTCTAAATTCTGTAATTTTATACATGACCAGCAGGAGGCAACCTCAGTGGCTGCAAAATAAAAAAGAAAAAGAACTCCTACTGTATTTTTTAGACCTTTGACATAAGAATAGGCCTCAACCTCCAGTTCCTCCCCTGGCCAATAGACGCTGTGCCCTACAGTGAGTTACTTAAAATTTAGCCTCATGAAATAAAGTCAAATTTTGCTGCAGAAATAAACATGCTTATGTCCTGGTGCAAAAACCTTATGGGTCCCTAATCAAAAAAAGGGAAAAGGAATTTGGAGAGAATTCACCATTTTTAAACTCAGTAATTAAACTCACCTGTTCACATTGGGTAAATGACTAAATTTACCTGTTTACATCAAAATGGGGATTAAATTTACCTGATAACAACAGATTAAGGATCATACTCACCTGATAACATCAATTTAGAGATTAAACTCAACCAATACCATCAGATTAAGGGTTGAATTCAGCCTATCACATCAGTTAAGAGTAGGGTAACCAGACTTCCCCAATTTCTGGGGACAGCCGCCATTTTAAATGACTTGTCCCTGGCTAAAGCTGTCCCCGCAAATGTCCCCGATTTTTGTGTTTCATGAATGAGAAAAAATATGTTGCATGTAGACTAGAACAGTGGTGCTCAACCGGGGGGGGGGGGCGTGGACACACTCACAGGGGTGCGGGCAAAGGATGGAGGGGGGGCTCGCTGGCTATTAGAACAAAGGAGATGTAGCAGAGTATCAAGCGGTCGGATATACATCAAGAAGCTGCACGTGCAATGTGGCAAGTGTCAACAAAAAGCAAACAGCAGGACCATATTTTTAAATAGCTGCGTTTCCATGACATTTTTTTGCAAAATAAAAGCGATGTTTATCAAATTTCGACAAAGTACAATTGCGATTTGCGGGTGTTTCCATTGAATGGTGTTCAGTGCATAAGCAAGCCGTCCGCCTCTCGCGAGCCGTGTTTGAATGGCCGTTGCCTAGCAACGAGGTAAACTTTCTGCCAGTGCGACCTCGTATTCCTTAAGCCTTTTTGCACACCGACATGGAGGAGATACAAAACATTTTGTGTTTTGCAGCAGCTATTTCTGTGACCATTATCCGCAGATCTGCAAGAAACGTTGGATATAAAAGATTTCTGCCAACTTCGCAAAGTCAACTGCAGAATTATCAGGGGCTGCCTTTCCCTGTTGTCCGGGGAACAGTGGAAACACAGTCACTGATTGGCCCGGTTATTTTCTGATCCCTAATACACGCTCCCAATGGGCCGAAGTCCAGACTGTTGTGGGAAGGAACGGCAAGTGATTCACGCAAATGGATGGCCCAGCCAGGCTATGGGAGCGGACACGGATGAGGGATTTCTGGGAGAGGATAGTTAATGAGGAATTCACAGATGATTCAAAATTTCAGAAATAACTCTGTCTACTCCCCCGTCCACACATACCGCACCATCTTTGCTTGAAATGAACTGATCACATGACCTGCTACATCATGTCCGGTGAGGTAGAATTGGGAGAATAGTGTTTCCATTACACTTTTGCGATATACTTCTATATCGACACGTCTGAAAAACCACCTCATGAGAGTGTAAAAACTTTTTGGCGATATTTGAGAGGTTTTATGAAATGTAGTTGTTTCCATTACCAGTTTTCTAGCGATATTAAGGTTTTGTGCAAATCTATGGGTAATGGAAACGCAGCTAATGTCTCAAACTGTCAACCTATCCCCCCCATGTAAAAATCTTACACTTTGGCCCCATCTGATGACTGTTTTTTTTTTAGGGTTGAACGGTTTGGGGTCAACAGCTGGTCGGGTTTCGGGATCAACGTGTTTCCGATGATAACAAACATTAGTGCACACCTGCCTGTGCTCACCTGGTGCAGACGACCTTCAGGCTGAAAGTCACAGTTGGGCAGGTCATTGTTGTTGCTGTCTCGTTTACGGCAGACTGTCCTTGAAATCTCAAAATCTACGATGTATCGTACCCCTTTAACAACCTGAAAATACACACACACACACACACACACACGCTCAACTGTAAGGTTAAAGAACATAAACGTCGTACCGAAAACCCAGGAGTTATTCCAGAAGTTATCTCACCAAGATCAAATCCAGCTTCGTAGTACAGGCCTCTAGAGTTACCATGGTTACTTTTCTGAAAATGTGAAAGTAACATAGTAACATAGTAATATCTTCATACCACACTCTCTTCCTCTTCATTTCAGGTACAGCAAGCTGTATAACGGAAAGTCCAGAGCAAGGAGTTTGTACACCATAAAAGGCCCCACTAAGTGTACGTCTGACCAAGATTGTTTGGATATTATTTTTCCAATAAATTTGTTCTATTTTATCTTATGTTTCATCTTTTATGCATCAGTACTATTGTTGACTCTGTTGTGACAAAAGTTGCTCAGGTCTTTGCTCATGTGATTGGTGATGATAATGATAATTTACTAGCCTGGTACTAAATTGCTGGAGAGTTGGAGCGAGCAGGAGCATCTGGTTGTAGGCGGGGCCTGCTGGAGCAGCGTGGGAGGGGAGAGGAGGAGCTGAGAGAAAAACTGGTAGGGAGGGTTAGTGTTTACATTCAAGATTTCTCCCAAAAACTGGCACTTCTGAGATCCTGCCTACCCCAGCTTTAAGTTTGCTGGAGGAGGCAGGGTTTATGACCTATAGTGCAGTCCATCGCTAGCGAGTGCTATTATCATGGAGGCTTTACCCAGTGAGGAGGCAGACAATGTCCATTCTATTTACAGTCTACGGTTCAAACATCGAGACAGTGACAGACTTTTTTGGGTTGATGTGTTTCCTGTGTCATACCTGGCGCTGTGCTCTGTAGATGGCGTAGGGTTTAAAGAGGTAGGCGTCGTTTGATTGGTCGTTGAAGGTAAAGGTGGCATCGAGGACTACCTTCTGGAGTCTGGGGTCAATCCTGCTGATGTTGTATGGAGACCCAGGCATGGAGCGACCCTGATAGAAGCCCAACGCTGATGCCATCTCTGCAGGTGGGGGGGGGGGGGGGGGGCACGTAGGAGACCTTTGAGTGTTTTACCAGTTAATTCAATTTAGTCAGCTTTAGCATTTTTGATTTTAATTCACCTGAGGGCCGATTTTAAACACATTTGATTTCAGGTTTTCCTCCTCCTGTCTTATCAGTGCAGTTACATGAACACTAAGTTGGAGCTACAATTTAACGGCACTGAAGAAAGAAGTAAAAGGAAAAGCAAAAACATTCTCGTCATGACAAGAATTTGTTATTTTTGATAATTAATCACACGGGTGGAGTTTTTATTTAAAGGTGTGAAGGTTTTTTCTGATTGTTTTTCTGATACTAAACTTCATTTAAAGGTGGAGAAACAGAAATATTCCAGAAATTAATAAACATTAAAATCGCCCTTTGACAGATTTAGAAGGTCACTCTCACCTTAACTGTTTCCTCTGAAAAAGGCAGTCTATTCAACAAACAGATTCTTAGTTACTCCCAGTTCTGCTGTTGCCCCCTGTTGTCATGCACCAGTACTGCACTCATATTTTGAGACAGCTAGCATATTGATCTGCTGCTGCACCGAAACCATTTCCAACACACATCTGACTGGACTATGGCTGTGTGAATTTTAGTAAAAGCTCAGCCACTCATGTTAAATCTCTCTGATTAAACTGAGCTGAGTCTTTTTTTCAGCCTCTGTCACCCTTGATCCTCCTCACCTCTTCACCCAGACATGCGAGTACTTTACTGGGTGGAAATAGTTAACCTGGTTCTGATCAAAGGAACTAAAATCCACCAATCAGCTCTCACCTTTTATTCTGTCTACTCAAACTGCAGAGAAACTGAGAGGTAATAATGACACATTTAGGTCCTGCCGAGAGTGTCTGTGAGTGACTATTTCCTGGTTGCGTTCATGGTTTTACATCACTCTGGAGTTCACTGCATGTGGCGTTTTTTTCTAAAGATGTCTAACTTTGGCTCCCCATCCTTTCTAAACCTCACATTCGAACTGAAGGCCCAGCGTCTGCTTACAGCAAGATTTAAGAACATTTACTGTGCCCAGGACATCTCCATATGAGTGAGACAAAAAGAAAAGACAAACTTTTGATGAATAAATTAGAGACACTCTGAAACAATACAATAATTTAAGGTCAGAGACATGAAGACTAATCTGAGAGGACTCTTGGAAGGCTGACTGACAAACTGCAGTCCTGTCTGTTTGTTCAGATGTTTAGACCTAGGTAAGAGAATAAACACCTGAACAAACAGGTAGAAGTGTCAACAGTGAGTGGCTTGGTGATCTCTGCTGCTGCTGCATTCAAAGACTGTCTGAAATCCTGCAAAATATAAAGCTGTAAGGAGTCTGAGCCCTCCTTGTAAAGCACTTTGAGTTTGGTTTTACATCTCAACAGTTTAGAGCACAGTAAAGGTCCTTACACACCGGGCGAGAATTCGCCAAGCGAATTATTCGCCTTTTTTTAAAACAGCTTTAAGTCAATGCAAGCTTCCACACCGGCGGCGATTTTTCCGCGGGGCGAAAAGCCGCTTTTATTTTTTCGCTCCTGTGTCGAATTTTTCGGATATTCGCAGGCGAATATCTGGACCTGATAGACCTCTGGCCAATCAAAAGTCATGTTGTTGATGACGTCACAGACCCATACGGCTGGAGGAGAGGGAGAAGTTTGAGGTTATGAATACGCAGAGAAAGACAGCTGAGGTGCATCCAAAACTCTTTCTAATTACTAATGAAGTAGTTTCCTCACAAGATGACACTCTCTTGTCTTCCACCCCGCATCTCCTCTCCTCCGTGTCTCAAAGCGACTTTATTAATTCGCTTTGCAAAAAATATACGCATATTCGCTTCGCGGCCGGTGTGTATAGGCGAAAGCGATTTTTCGGACCGGTGAATATTCGCAATTTTCGTCTCGCTTTTTCGCTTCGCTCCGCAAATTCGCCGGTGTGTAAGGACCTTAAAGAGGACAGAAGAGGATCATGTGAAGAGAGTGGAACAGCTGCAGACTGTGATAAAACATTCACTCTGATAATACTGGAAAGAACTTTGAACATTCAGAACATTTAAACACATGCACAGTGCTAAAAAAAAATGAAAGAAGTTATAAGTGTGGAGTTTATTTTCTTTATCTAGAACAGCAAGCAGAGAGAGGAGCAGCAGCAGCAGCGTCTTCTGTCCCATCATGCACTGTTTGCTTGTGTTTCCTGTGAGGTGTTGACACTCATGACCACAGTTCAGATCTGCTCACAGCAGCAGTAACATCTCATATTTGTGTCTTCACAAACAGCAGACGCAGGACCCGTCAGTTCACTTCCTTTTTCACATTTCATCACTTCCTGTACTGACCTCCTCCTTAAGCTCTGCAGGAGACTGTTACTGTGTTTAAAACATTTGTTTAAAAATCAAACCAAGCTGACTGAGAGAGTGTCACTGTGCACTGTCCTTAATAATGTTTATAAAACAATAAAATTACTAAGCGTCAGTGTCTGAATTTGGCAGCATAGGTCAGTCTCCACACAGCTTATGGTGATCAGAGTTTAGGCCCCACCTCCTTGTGCCATCATGACAAACTGGACAACATGGCTGCCCCTCTCCAAGACTCATACCATATTCATCAAACATAACAACATCAGAAAGATAGTGAACTTTTTATCGACTTTCTGCAGGCAAACTGCACAAAGACTCTGAGTATACCCACTACATGACAAACACATTTCAAACCAATAAATACACTTTAAATACACAACACACACTTCCTAACCCAGGCCTTCTTCATTAGCAGAGGCTAACAGGCTGTTAAAGGGACAGCAGTATGCAGAATGAAAGGGAAGGCTGACTTTAAAGGGGACATGCACTTGTGGCTTTTAGGTTTGGAAGGTTCTGAACTGAGAGAAACAACCCAAAAGTATTTGAGCGTTGCCATGACAAAGAAAGGAGCTTCTTTCTGTGCCCCCAGGGCTCTCTCTCTCTCTACTAGTTAACATGTGAGGACCAAAATCGAAGCTACTTGACAAGTGAATGTTTCCTTGACCTTACCAGTAAGCTAGTTACCTCCGCCAAGGAGGTTATGTTTTCGGTAGTGTTGGTTTGTTTGTTTGTTTGTTTGTTTGTTTGTCTGTGAACAACTATACGGAGAAAGTTACAGACGGATTGATCTGAAATTTTCACCAGAGGTGCGTCTCAGCCCCAGGAGGATCCCATTACATTTTGGTGGTGATCCGGATCGCCTTCTGGATCCAGGAATTTTTTGAAGGATTCTTTATCATTGTTAGATAGGGCAAATTTTGGAATTTTTGCATTTAACTCTATAAAAATATCCAGAGTCTTTAGTAAAAAATACACAAAAGGATCTCAATGAGTTTTATGAGGTGTCAAAGTTTGATCCTGATCCAGACAAAATTCCGGATACTGTGATCCAGAACACACAAAAATAAGGGTGTCGTTGGAATTTTCAATGCTGAAAGATAACCAATGGGCGGCACAGTGGTGTAGATGGGCGGCACAGTGGTGTAGTGGTAGCACTGTCGCCTCACAGCAAGAAGGTCCTTGGTTCGAATCCGGGTCAGGGCATTTCTGTGTGGAGTTTGCATGTTCTCCCTGTCTGTGTGGGTTTACTCCGGGTACTCCAGTTTCCTCCCACATCCTAAAAACATGCCTAAGTGGGGTTAGGTTAATTAGCCACTTCCAAATTGCCCGTAGGTGTGAATGTGAGTGTGGATGGTTGTTCGTCTCTATATGTCAGCCCTGCGATGAACTGGCGACTTGTCTAGGGTGTCCCCTGCCTTTGCCCGAAGATACTGGGATAGGCTCCAGATTTTCATTACAAAGATGATTTACATGATTAACAACTCAAATTAAATGACAACTAACACTAACAGAGGATTTAACGAACTAAACCATCGTGCAACGTGGAGCCCCATAGCTGTAGCAGTGCAGGGTAGAATCAAAGCAGAGCTGAGCTGAGCAGCAGCTGGCATTGATGACCAGTTTTTATACACCAGGTGGACTTGCCAGGTCCACCCAGATATAGCAAACCCCACCTCCTAACCTGCAGGAAGGACAAAACACCAAAAAGGGGAAAATACAAAAACACGAGCAGGTGTTAGAGGCAGGAGGCCATCACAACTGCATTCAGTGTTCTTCTCTGTCGTGACTCAATCAATAATAAAACAAATTGATCATGATCTGGGCAAATGTGTCGCCAGTATTTTCCATTGTTCACTATAATATATAAGTGCCAGAGGACACTAACTTCAGGTCAACAATGAGTGAAATGTGTCTTAAAATGACGGATCATTTTACCACCTTACCATAGACAAGGCCTCTGTTTGTTTCATTAGGAGGTTGTTTGGCACCATCAAGTGGTCTGATAGTAGAACTACATCCGATGCTCTGTGTGAAATCTGACACTGAGTGGATTCCAACGTCACTCTGAGGTTATGAGGATGTGACGGTGTCCTCAGATCAAACGCTCACAGACACCAGGACTGACGAAGGACAAACAAGCAGCTTCTTCTCTCCACAAAGTGTCTGTAAGCTGCCCTGAACTCTCTTAACAGGTGAGGATCCTTCCAAGGAAATCTGTTCATGTCTGAGGATCAGTATCCGTGTTCTCACATTGTGCTGGGTCTCTGTTGAAGTGTAGAAATCTTTCTTGATGCTGATTGGCTGTTTGAAACATGTTGTAGAATTTCTCTCTGAGTTAAGGAGCAGTGATTTCAGACAGATCCACCTGTTTTATAGTTGGTGTTAATAATAATAATAATAATGATCTTTATTGTCCCCAAGGGGAAATTTTTTTTCACAGGTCTTATTCAAACACAACCACGAGTACAGACAACACATATCATATGACACAAAACATATTACAAGGACAGGCCGTGAGAACCCCCCCAGAATACCAAGAGACCATCCTAGCGGAGAGGCAGTTTAAGCTTGTTTACTGCGGCGATGGCTGTTGGGATGAAACTCCTACTGAACTGGATCCTCTTCCAGGATCCAGTTTGTGGAGTTGACATAGCAGCAGTTGACTCCACAAACACCAACCGACTCAGTAATCTGAGTCACACCATCAGGGAAGGGTGCAGGGAGTGTCTGAACCGGTTTTACAGCCTGAATCGACTTGCATTGCATTGAACCACCTTTCCCTGCTCTAAGGTGAAGGGTTCAAAGGTCAGATCATACCAAAACTAAGACTGACTAAGTTTTACTGGAGACCCTTTAGCAGGGTTCAGGTCTCAGTGATCCCAGAGGTTTCAGAATCTTTTAGATCATTCAGAGCCTGCCAAGGGTGGAAGTGGACTCATTGATTGTTTGAGACTCCTCAGCTATCAGGGGGTCTCAAACAATCACTGCAGCTGTAACAAGGTTTCTGTCAGTCCTGAATATTTTGTGTCATGTTATTGAGAGGAATGAGAACTGAAGTGTCCTGTGGTGTAAAGTTTGTCGTACTGACTGAGAACGTTGTTGTGTTTGTGTGAAGGTGGGGGCTCTGCTATGAATCAGTGTGAGGACAGAGAGAAGGGAGCCCCTCCCTCTAAAACCACTCTGTGGGGGGAACATGAGAGCCAGACTAAAGCTCAGAGGTGAGATGAGGATCTCCAGCTGTCCGTGACTCTTCTCCATGTCAGAGTTCAGCACTCACATCACTCCACCATCACTATTATTCACACTCAGACCTCTGTCTGTCTGTCTGTCAAAGACCTAAACAGGTCAAACCTGGAAGATTTTCAGTGTTCTTGTTCTTCATCAGTTTTTGTGTTTCTGTCAGAGTCAAACATGAGAGACCAGACTCTCCTGGACCTGGACCTGAACCCAGCTGTGTGTCCTTAAAGAGTGCCTGGTCTTTGGACAGACCTATTAATTTCAAAGAAGGAGATATTTGTGATGAGCAAAGGTGAGCCTTTTAAACTGAACTTTCTTTTGTTGTGTGTGAAACTTTTCATCCTAACTGTGGTCAGTGTTTTCTCTGTGAAGGTGAAGATTTTTCAGGGTTTGTGTTTCTATCAGGATCCAACAGCAGTAAACAGGATCTGAGCCAGAAAGACCTGGACTCTGCATGTATCTTCATGTGTGTCCTGTGTCTGTAGGAGGATCCAGCAGTGTTTCTACCAGGATCCACTAGGTAGACTCTCTCACATGTAACCCTGTGTCTCCTTATATTATATCCACTTCAATAGATTCTGTTTGTTCCACAGTGTTCAGCAGCAGAGATCAGGGGTTCCCATTGGTCAGTCTGCCCAGCATCATCAAACACAGCTGGACTCCATATTTATGGTAGGTGTAAATGTACAAACACAGCTCCTACTGATCATCAGAGCAGACACTCAGTATATTTGGAGGTTTCTGGATTGTTTCCTAACTTCCTGACTCTGCAAACATCATCTCTGCCTGAATTGTCTTCACACTCACAGTTTGACTGATTGAATGAAGCCTCACATTTATGACCTGCTCAGAGTCAGAGGTCAGAGGTCAGAGGTCATGGTGGATGGTGGTCTCACAAGGACTCCGCCTTTGGCAGCAGAGAGCAGAGTTCACAAACTGAGTCCAGTTTGAGGTTTAAAGAACAGAAAGACTTTGGTTCATGTCAATGACAGCTGCTGCTTTCAGCTTCATTCTAATAAACACATCACCTCTAAAGTCACTGCAGACTTTTTCTCCATGAAACCACACCAGGAGATTTCTCCAATATGAAGGTCAGGTCATAGAAACTAGATTTGTAGAAGACAGGACCATCCACAAAGTCAATCCTTAAGCAGCATTGTGATCCAGTCTCCATGCTGGACTCTGTAGACTAGCAGGCTTTCTGTCTGTCACAGATGATCTGATGTTCAGTTCTACAAGTTCAAGTTCACGGTTTGTTCTGTTCCAGCTGCTCCAGGAGAACATGATCAGCTTTGTAAAGAACCAGCTGAAGGAGATCCAGAGAGTTCTGAGTCCAGATGAACCAGAATACTTAGAGAGTCAGAGGGAGGATGAGGATGAAGAGCAGAGGAGGAGCAGAGAGGCATTTCTGAAGATCACTCTGCACCTCCTGAGAAGAATGAAGCAGGAGGAGCTAGCTGACTGTCTGCAGAGCAGTAAGAGGATATGAAGAGATTTAACATGATGGAGACAACATGGGAGAAGTTTAGAGTTCAGACTCTGCTGTTCATAAGATGCACACATTTGTATCACATCTATGAACTGAGAGAAACTGATCACAGCTGATGAGCTGAAGAGATTTCAGAGAGGAGGGAAATCAAATCCATCCTGATGTCCTCAAGTGTAAATTCATCAGACTGATTGTAGCTTCAGATGATTCATCACATTTCTTTTTGTTCATTCAGGATCTGCTGCTGCAGAGTGCCCACACAAACTCAAGTCCAACCTGAAGGAGAAGTTCCAGTGTGTGTTTGAGGGGATTGCTAAAGCAGGAAACCCAACCCCTCTGAACCAGATCTACACAGACCTCTACATCACAGAGGGAGGGACTGGAGAGGTCAACGATGAACATGAGGTCAGACAGATTGAAACAGCATCCAGGAAAGCAGAGCGACCAGAAACAACCATCAGACAAGAAGACATCTTTAAAGGCTCACCTGGAAGACAGGAACCAATCAGAACAGTGATGACAAAGGGAGTGGCTGGCATTGGGAAAACCTTCTTAACACAGAAGTGGACTCTGGACTGGGCTGAAGACAAAGACAACCAGGACATCCACTTCACATTTCCATTCACCTTCAGAGAGCTGAATGTGCTGAAAGAGAAGAAGTTCAGCTTGGTGGAGCTCGTTCATTTCTTCTTCACAGAAACCAAAGAAGCAGGAATCTGCAGCTTTCAAGACTTAAGGGTCGTGTTCATCTTTGACGGTCTGGATGAGTGTCGACTTCCTCTGGACTTCCACAACAATGAGGTCCTGACTGATGTTACAAAGTCCAGCTCAGTGGATGTGCTGCTGACAAACCTCATCAGGGGGAACCTGCTTCCTTCTGCTTGCCTCTGGGTAACCACAAGACCTGCAGCAGCCAATCAGATCCCTCCTGAGTGTGTTGACATGGTGACAGAGGTCAGAGGGTTCACTGACCCTCAGAAGGAGGAGTACTTCAGGAAGAGATTCAGAGATGAGGAGCAGGCCAGCAGAATCATCTCACACATCAAGACATCCAGAAGCCTCCACATCATGTGCCACATCCCGGTCTTCTGCTGGATCACTGCTACAGTTCTGGAGGATCTGCTGAAGACCAGAGAGGGAGGAGAGCTGCCCAAGACCCTGACTCAGATGTACATCCACTTCCTGGTGGTTCAGTCCAAACTGAAGAACATCAAGTATGATGGAGGAGCTGAGACTGATCCACACTGGAGTCCAGAGAGCAGGAAGATGATTAAGTCTCTGGGAAAACTTGCTTTTGAACAGCTGCAGAAAGGAAACCTGATCTTCTATGAATCAGACCTGACTCAGTGTGGCATGGATATCAGAGCAGCCTCAGTGTACTCAGGAGTGTTCACACAGATCTTCAGAGAGGAGAGAGGACTGTACCAGGACAAGGTGTTCTGCTTCATCCATCTGAGTGTTCAAGAGTTTCTGGCTGCTCTTCATGTCCACCTGACCTTCACCAACTCTGGAGTCAACCTGATGGAAGAAGAACAACAAACAACATCTTCAATCTCTAAAATCTTCAGTGTCAAACCAAAACTGGAACATCTCCATCAGAGTGCTGTAGACCAGGCCTTACAGAGTCTGAACGGACACCTGGATTTATTTCTGCGTTTCCTCCTGGGCCTTTCTCTGCAAACCAATCAGAATCTCCTGAGAGGTCTGCTGACACACACAGGAAGTAGCTCACAGACCAATCAGAAAACAGTCCAGTACATCAAGGAGAAGATCAGTGAGGATCTGTCTGCAGAGAAAAGCATCAATCTGTTCCACTGTCTGAATGAACTGAATGATCGTTCTCTAGTGGAGCAGATCCAACAGTCCCTGAGATCAGGACGTCTCTCCACAGAGGAACTGTCTCCTGCTCAGTGGGCAGCTCTGGTCTTCATCTTACTGTCATCAGAAAAAGATCTGGACGTGTTTGACCTGAAGAAATACTCTGCTTCAGAGGAGGCTCTTCTGAGGCTGCTGCCAGTGGTCAAAGCCTCCAACAAAGCTCTGTAGGTGGACACATGAGAGATGAAACATTATTGTTCATGAGAGATGAAACTTTGTGTCTGTGCTAATCACTGAATCTTCTTCAGGCTGAGTGGATGTAACCTGTCAGAGAGAAGCTGTGAAGCTCTGTCCTCAGTCCTCAGCTCCCGGTCCTCCAGTCTGAGAGAGCTGGACCTGAGTCACAATGACCTGCAGGATTCAGGAGTGAAGCTGCTGTCTGCTGGACTGAAGAGTCCTCACTGGAAACTGGAAACTCTCAGGTCAGGTTTTCTGCTGATCAAGTTTTGTAGTTGTTTGAATGACATTGTCTCAAGTTGGTACACTTTTCCTTATTTCACATATTTTTTCTGAATCCAGGTTATCAGGCTGTCTGATCACAGAAGTAGGTTGTGCTTCTCTGGCCTCAGCTCTGAGCCCCAACCCTTCACACCTGAGAGAGCTGGACCTGAGCTACAATCATCCAGGAGACTCAGGAGTAAAATGGCTTTCTGCTGGTTGGGAGGATCCTCTATGGAGACTGGATACACTGAGGTATAACCAGACAGCTACTGGGTCACACACAACTACAGATATATTTGGTTCCTTCTTCCTGAGGTCTTCACTTAGCAGGTCATCATTGTGGACCATCTTTCTGATGGACTCTTGGATGTGAACAGTTTTATCCTGGATAGTAGCTCTGATGCTCACTAGTTCCCAGCCTTCTCCTTCCTCTTAGTGTAGACCCTCAGGGTTCTGGATTTAGGGTGAAATCCTCCATTTGAGTATTTTGAGGAGCTTTCTTGTCTTGATGTCAGTGGTCTTTATTTATATATATAAAGAACCATTTTTAAATGCTCTTTATGGAGGACCGCAAGGGTCGCTGAAATTAAAATGAAGTATTTTTAATTGAAAAAGTTATTGTACAATTGAAACAGGAATTCATAAAGTGGTTTCCAAATTCATGAGTTCATCCATGAACAAATCGAGGAATTATAAAAAGAGTCTACAAATGAATCTTTTAAACTGTACAAAAGTTTATTCTTTAAAATGATGTGCGGCTCAATCTGTTGTCTCACTGTGGGAAAGTCAGATTTAGAGCCCTGCTGATTGACTGACTGCAAAAAAAAGGTTGTAATATGTTGTTATGGTGCCGTAAACACACGGCGAAAAAAACTGTTTTTAATGGAAGTCTATTGGCCGATTTGAGGACAAAGGAGGGTGGGTGGAGCTAAAATGTGGCGACAGAGAACTACAGGAGACACCGAGTTTTTAATGATGGTCTCATACAGACTCAGAACTCTCACCAAATTTGATGCTCCAATCTTTAAAAATGTGACTGTCAGCTCAAAATAAAGCTAAAAAAAAGACAAATGTCCTCAAAACAGACAGAGGAGGAACCGAGGGTTAAAAATACATGAATGTGTTCCCTAATAGTTTAAAAATCAGTCTGAAAATGCAGTTTTAAAAAAGAGAAATAAAGAAGTGAATTGACAATCTGAAGTAATACAGCTTTTAATCAGACATTTAAAGGACAATTCCTCTTTTTATTTCCATTTCCTGTCTGCTTTTCCTTTTCCTGTTAGCTAATCGATTATCAAAGTCTTTAATCTTTCTCTCCATTTTTCCTTCCCTCACACTTTGGGCCTTGAGCTGGTAAAACCAGATAAAACAATGCAGATGAGCCATGAAACAAGCTCTCTGATTGGTTATAACCTGGCCTATTACATGCAGATGTCTGCAGGGAGGTGAAGATGATGGAGGATGAGGAAGAATAGAACTTGTCCAGTGTTCCAGGTGGAAAGAGGTCCAAACCTGGATATTGTGACTCTGTGGTCATTTCACAGCTCCCTGATTGATGAACAGACACGCAGACTAAAAACAGAGATGATCAGGAGAGAGATGGGCTCATATTTGAAGTTATAAACACATTTGACAGTCCTTTAGCCCACGTCAGAACTCAGAGAAGATGCTTTATTACACCTGATGTTACAAGATGAAGGTTCACATCTAGTTTAATGATCAGAGCAGAACAACATTCAGATCTCCTCCAGATCCTTTATCTCATTCATCCATACAGACCAGGATCAACTCTCCTGGCTGACATGGGAAGGTCTTCTCTTCTTGATTTTCTGCTCTCTTTGTTTGGTGAGCCATCAAACAAACCCTCAGAGCTACAGAGAAACACCTCCTTCATACATCCACCCTCAGTCAGAAACATGGACTCAAAGTACTGGCTGCAGAAGTGGGTTCAAAGGAGATCAGATAGTCTTCATTGAGCTTCATCAGCTGAGCTCTACTGCTTTACTGGCACAGCTACATTCAGTGAGAGCAGCAGCAGACCTGTCAGTCATGATCAGGTAAGCTGAGGGGCTGTTTGAGGACATGCACTGACTTTGCTCCACTTCCTGTCCATCCCAAACTGCAGGAAATCCACCTGCTGTTCCAGGTGTGATGCTCCTACTCCCTCTGCTCTAGCTGACTCTGAATGATCCGAGAAGAGCCTCACACACTCACATGAGTTCATCTGAGAGCTTTCATTTCATCTTCATTCATATTTAGAAGAAGAGAGCCCACTACTTCATCTCTCTATCTGCAGACAAGCTTTCAAGTCTATTTAGAAGGAGCTTTTAGACCAAAGTGTGGACAGCTGCCCTAAAAGAAGAAATGAAGGTCTTTTTCCAAAGGGTCCAAATCAAGTCTCCATGTTGTAGGACAGACCAACAGCCAGTTTTTGCTCTTTGAATCTTGTTGTTGTTTTTCTGTGAGTTTCTGTCAGAAAGACTCAGTGACAGAGTGATGGAAACTGTTGGCTCAGATGAGTTTCAGCCTGTTTCTCCGTCACAGGGACAAACTGAGGAACTCTGCTTCATGTTGGACAGCAGGTAGGACTCATGTTGGACACTCAATCATTCTGACTGTGTTTCTTCCTCCAGGGTGGACCATGGTGGAGAGCAGTGGTTAAAACCCGGTGTGAAGAAGTGCAAGTGTGGAATCAGTTTGACTCCTGATGACCAAACAGCAGACTGTCAGCTAACAAAGAAGAAAGCCTTCAGGTGTGTCTGATGATAACCTGCTGCTGTGTTGTGTCTTTTTCTCTCTGTCAGATTTCTGTGAACTCACACTGGACTCAAACACAGTAAACGGACGCCTCAGACTGTCTGAAAACAACAGGAAGGTGACAAATGGTGAAGAGGATCAGTCATATCCTGATCATCCAGACAGATTTGACTTCTGTCCTCAGCTTCTGTGTAGAGATGGTCTGACTGGTCGCTGTTACTGGGAGGTTGAGTGGAGAAGAATGGTTCATATGTCAGTGAGTTACAGAGGAATCAGAAGGAAAGGAAAGAGTGATGACTGTGTGTTTGGATCTAATGATCAGTCCTGGAGTCTGATCTGCTCTAATGAAGGTTACTCTGTCAGTCACAATAACAGAGAAACAGACCTCCGTCTCCCCTCGTCCTCTGTCTCACACAGAGTAGCAGTGTATGTGGACTGTCCTGCTGGCAATCTGTCCTTCTACAGCGTCTCCTCTGACACACTGATCCACCTCCACACCTTCAACACCACTTTCACTCAACCTCTCTATCCTGGGTTTGGGATCTGGTTTCCTGGTTCCTCAGTGCGTTTGTGTTCTGTGTAGGAGGGAGAGTCTCCTCCTCTCTACACAAACAGCAGCTGAAGAACAGTTGACCCTCTGCACTAACACAAACTTCAGCTGGTTATCTGACTGTTTGCATCCTGTCACATCAGTCTGAATGTCTATTATCAAAGAGCAGGACTCCATGTCAAACTGGCTCACTGAACTGGACTGATTTCTGTCTTTATGGGGGAAAAATCCGCCTCATCCAGCACATTTTTCTTCATTGTATTGATCAGAAAGTTTGTCTGAACAGTCAGAGTCAGACTCCTGAAACTCTTCTTTACCTGCACAGGTGTTCACACCTGTGTTTAAACTGATGAAGGTCATGTCCTCATGAGACTGCAGGCTGGTTCACACACACACACACACACACACACACACACACACACACACACACACACACACACACACACACACACACACACACACACACACACACACACACACACACACACAGAAAAATCAGAGCCAAACTGAGAGCAGGATTAGAGAGAAGTGAAGACAGAAAACATGAAAATCTGGAGCCGGAGCAGCAGACTGTAAACAGAAGAGAAAGTGAACGTCACCTCTTAACCAACAAACCTGCTTTAGAGATCATTACAACTCAAATCAAAGAGAAAAATCACAATGAATGAAAAAAGAAGGGTGAAAAATTCAAGAGGAGTAATACAGGTGTAAGAATTGATGTAAGGACGTTTATGAAATATGAACTCAATAAAGAAATCTATATTCTAACAGCTGTCTCAGTTTAGTTCTTACTAATAATCAAATAGATATTAATGATGTTATTGGATGGATCTGAATATTAAAAATCAATTCTAAAACTTACCAGGAGCCGATGAAGTGAAGCTGAAATAGGAGTTCTATGATCTCTGTTTCTGATTCTAGTTAGGAGGTGAGCTGCTGCATTCAGGACCAGCTGTAACTTGTGTAAACTCTGTTGGTTCAGACGTGTGAACAAAGAGTTGCAGTCGTCCAGAACTGCACATGTCAAAGTTGTAACATAATTATTAGTATAATTATCTCTTAAATACAACGGAGTATAAGGGGCACAATTAGAAAAAAAAACGTTTTTAAATCTTAAAGAATAAAGTTATTATTGGGGAGAATAAAGTCATTAATTTATAAGTATTACGTCGTAAAGTTACCAGTTGTGAAGGAGAGTTGTTAAAATCAGCACTGTGGAGCATTTAGATGAATTGTACTTAAGTATAGGTTTCACAAACATGGTGATACTTAATCCTTTGGTACATGAGCCTTACACTGTCATGAGTATCAGAACTTATATTTGAGATATATGAGAAATGCTGCTTTTGTGGAGGGGGAAATGGCTGTACAGAGGCTAAATCCGTCACTACAGCTGTTAATAGCAATAGCATAGGGCTTTAGTTTATCATGAGTTTATTTGCCATGAGGTGTTGAGGTCTCTGCATGTGTAGGTTACTGACTTACTGTAATCATCGGGTCTATCTCGTCCTTATAAAAACCTGCTCTATTACGGCGAGTGTCTGTCTTCTTCTGTAGTCAAACCATAGTGTAGCGATTTGAAATGAGCCTCACAAGGCCGCACCAAAATAATACTGTAGCGATTAGAATTTATAATAAATGTCTGAAGATTAATAATCTCAAATTATGACATTTATGCACTCGTTGAAAGGGGCACCACCCACCCTTAATGGTGGGAAAATAAAGAAAACAAAAGTTTAATTCAGAAATCAAACATCAAGTCAGTTTTAATTAATCAGTCTCATATCTTAAGTCGAAATTCTCATTTCAGGGACTCCACTTCTGGAAGAACGCTAACAGACAGGAACTTAGAAAAATAATGATCTGTTTATTACAGGATAAATGATGGTACAACATACATGCAATAAATGATGATAAGATAATGAGGATAAAATAATAATATGTGAATAAATAAAGATTCTGAGTCAGGCTAGGAGCACTAAAGTTAATGATAGTTAGTGAATATGCGCTAACATATTAACCTACACTAACTTTGGTGTCGAGATAAATTCAGATGTGGATTTGGAGGAATCTAAGATTACCAGAATAAGTGGATATCTGAGTTATGAATGCATGAGACAGCACCAGCCCTTTTTGGAGCTCTGGAGGTTTGCATACTTAAGTGAGACTGGTCCTTGGAGAAGGTGGCGCAGGTTCCGAAGGTCCGGGGCTACTGGCGGTTCGAGCGGTTCAGCTCAGAAGACGACTGAAGTCAGCCGAAGGATGAGCCAGGAGTTGCAGCACTTGGGCCCGAAGCAAAGCTGGATCCTGTGGATGCTCGTTTGGGTACTTCTTTGGTCTCACTCAAAAACTCTGGCACAGAGGATGACCTGGGCCTGCTGGGTTGCGTTCAGAGGTGACTTTAAGATCACGCAGATAACTCAGAAAAACGAGACTCGAGCAGAGAAAACTTTCAAAAATGGCTTCGCGAAACTAAAGAAAAATCAATCAAAGGCTTAATCTTGAATTGCTATGCGCACAAAAAGTTGAAGTCTCAAAACTTGAACTAAGACGATGTTAAAGAAAATCAACGTGAATCAACACGTGGCGTAAAACTTAGAAGACTAAGGCTGTGTCTCATTTCAGAGACCGCATCGTGATAAGCGCGCTTAACGGCGCTTAGCTGAGTGCACTGCCGTTTTGAGCCGTTTTACGCCGTTTTGCGCCGTTCTGTGCCCTTCCTGTGTCCCATTTCAGATACAGCAGCCATCGAACGGCGCATCTGACGCATACGTGAGGTCCCCACGCGGCACGAACGGTGTCCCGTTTGGCACAAAAAACTAAGCGCGCTTCAAATTCGGTCTCAAAACCACACTACCCCCGCCTCGTTTTCAAGCGTGCATGTATGCACGCTTTCGTGCCGTCGGTATCCCAGAATTCTTTGCGTGCCGCTGCACAGCTGTGCATTTCAGGTGAGAGGCTGGACTCGCTTGGAGACACAGCGCGTCTTCGAAGAAAATACAAGCAATCTGTGTTACAACTATCAAAAACATTAGAAATGAGAAAGCTGACAAAACTACAGCAAAGTATCAGGACAACATTGAGGTTTTTTTTTCTTTTAAGATTTAGAGATTAAAGTTGTAAATTTAGGAGAATAAAGTCATAAAGTAAATAAAGTCATAAAGCTGCTTTTGCGGAGGGGGAAATGACTGAAGCTGGTCATCTGCAGGGTTATCTGTGGATGTATCAGCGGGTCATTCAGAGAGATTTTGTGGTTTCTGAAGAATCAATCAAACTGATGATAATCAACATTTGTGATCCAGAGGGAGTCGAGCTCCGACGAGCACCACGTCTCCGACACCGGCCGTAGCCTACACCTGCAGAGACACCAACACCTTATTACGGCATATGGATTCATATCATAAACTAAAGCTCAATGTCATTCACGGATATTAACGGCTGCATTGACAGATATATCCTCAGCATATTCATTTCTGCCTCCACAAAAGCAGCGATTTCCTTCAAGTACACCAATATTTTTCCCCCGTGGAAAAGACGTATTTCTCATATATTCTTTTTAAAGTCTTTATACTTATGACAATGTTATGCTGATGTGCCAGAGGATGAAGAATCTCCTTGTTTGTGAAACCTATACTGAAGCACAGTTCCTTCAAATGCTTCATGGCCCTAATTTTAACAAGTCTCTCTGAAATAACAGGTTATGACTTCATTCTCATAAATTAATGACTTTATTCTCGTAAATTCACGACTTAAATCTCGAAGTCCTTAAAGTCTTAAATCTCAATATGGCCCTCATACTCCTTCTTACAAAACAATCATTGGATGAATTGTGCTTGTATGTATCTACTATTTTGTGTCTGTGCAAGGTCGCACAATTAAAACAATAAATGCTGCGCTCCGCGGGTTTCCTTTAAGTCAGTCGTGACGCGAGCCTGAGGGCGGGGACATTTGGCAACTCCACCAGGAAGTCCTCCGAATGTCTCCAAATGTCCCCGCCCTCAGGCGTACGTCACGACTGATTAGAAAAAAGCTGCGGAGCGCAGCATGTATTGTTTTAATTGTGCGACCTTGCACAGACACAAAATAGTAGATACATACAAGCCCAGATCATTCCCACAAAATTAATCCAATGATTGTTTTGTATGGAGGAGTATGAGGGCCCTATTGAGAAGGAGGATAGGAGATACTTCATCCTCTGGCACATCAGCATCACATTGTCATAAGTATAAAGACTTTAAAAAAAGAATATATGAGAAATACGTCTTTTCCACGGGGGAAAAATATTGGTGTACTTGAAGGAAATCGCTGCTTTTGTGGAGGCAGAAATGAATATGCTGAGGATATATCTGTCAATGCAGCCGTAAATATCCGTGAATGACATTGAGCTTTAATTTATGATATGAATCCATATGCCATAATAAGGTGTTGGTGTCTCTGCTGGTGTAGGTTACCGCCAGTGTCAGAGACGTGGTGCTCGTCGGAGCTCGACTCCCTCTGGATCACAAATGTTGATCATCATCAGTTTGATTGTTTCTTCAGAAACCACAAAATCTCTCTGAATGACCCGCTGATACATCCACAGATAACCCTGCAGATGACCAACTTCAGTCATTTCCCCCTCCACAAAAGCAGCTTTATGACTTTATTTACTTTATGACTTTATTCTCCTAAATTTACAACTTTAATCTCTAAATCTTAAAAGAAAAAAACCTCAATGTTGTCCTGATACTCTGCTGTAGTTTTGTCAGCTTTCTTATTTCTAATGTTTTTGATTGTTGAAGCAGAGCGGATCAGTTCGTCTCTAAATCTATAATGTTTGGTTAACAGATTTTAGTGAGTTCAGAGATCATGCTCTCATACAGCCTGAGCTGACTGTGTGCTGTTTTCGGATTGCTTGTAATTTCTTTGAAGACGCGCTGCGTCTCCAAGCGAGTCCAGCCTCTCACCTGAAATGCGCAGCTGTGCAGCGGCACGCAAAGGATTCTGGGATACCGACGGCACGAAAGCGTGGATAAATGCACGCTTGAAAACATGCTAAGCGCGCTTAGCATTTTTTAGCATCTCGTGCCAAACGGGACACCGTTCGCACCGTCGTGACGTCATGCACACTTCAAATGCACCGTTCGACGGTGCAGAAGGGCACTTAGGTCGATGCGGTCTCTGAAATGAGACACAGCCTAAGAAAAAGTTCTAAGAGAAAACAAAGAATCGCACCACAGAAGGGTGTGGGCAGAAGAGAGGGTACAAGAGAAAAGGGGCATAAGAGCCGGGGACAAGAGCAGAAGGGATAAGAGGATGAGCAACCCCACTTCACTGGTTTTATCTTCTCACACTGGGAGTGTCTCCGGCATGTGTGTGTGTGAGGAGAAGGAGGAGGAGGGTTGTGTGGTCTCCAAGCAGAGAGGACCTTGGATCTCTGATTATTTGATCTAACTTATACTTCTGGCTGGTAAAAGAGTCAGATCTGATACTCACTCACTATGGTTAATATCATTGAATGCTTGGTTTCATGATAAATAATTTGATACTAAACACATATGAATGAAGTGTAGGATCACATCAAACATTCTCATTATGTTTTAAGTATCACATTGAACATGCTAAATTACTCTGAAATGAAACAGTAACACATGGAAACTGTGAACAACAAAAGAGTAAATACATGTGAATGAACGTCATCATGATTAATAATGGATTCTAAATACTCACATTCAGATTATTCAATGACATTATAACCACCTAATGGTTAAAAATACTAAATAAACATCTACAATATAAACCAAACATTTCTAAACTATTTCTGTGTTCATAGAGTAAGTTATGATCCATAGTCAATAAATTTAACTCTTAACAGTTCATGAAACAGTCTGAAAAGCTGTTGGTCTAAAGAAACTAAAGAATAAAGGATTTATTCTGTCAGAGTGATAACTCGGCTTCTGAAGCACATAGAAAAACGGGAAACATCTCATTTTAACACAAATTTCATGATTAGACAGATTAGTACATTGCTGAATGCATAAGATGTCAGGATCAGTCATTTGTATTCTTTTACCAAAGGAATGTAGTCTTTATCAGTGCATGGTCGAGCAGGGTTTTACGACCGAGGTCTGGAGGTCAGTGTCCCCCCTTTTCCTGGGGTCCATGTGTTCACACACTTTAAGACGCTAAATCTCAAATGGGAGATCTGGGTTGAGGTTAATGTTTATTTAGATGGTCAGCAATGGAGTCAGTTTGAAAGGTAATAAAAACTCTGTCTCTGTTCTCCGAATCGACCAATCGTGAAGAGTCAGAGGTTTAGTCAACCTCCGGTTGGGTCACTTATTTAACCTGAAAGTGTAAACGAGTCTGGAAAGATTTATATCCTATGTCCTGGGACCAGATGAGGAAACTTTCCTGTGAGGAATGTGTGGGTTTCACACCCAGGGTTGTCTTGATTGCTACAGCAGCCTCACCATGCGTCTTTGTCGTGATTCGTGGGACAGTTGAAAGGCCGGTACCAGAGGACCTCATGGTCTGCGAGGGCTGATATGCTAAAAGCAGGTCAGATAAATAAGACGGCCCAAGACCATTAAGACATTTATAAACCAGCAAAAGAATCTTAAAATAGATCCTAAAGCGGACGGGGAGCCAAAGCAGTGATTTCAAAAAGGGTGTAATGTGCTCCCGCCCTCTGGTCCTCATCAGCACACGAGCGGCTGAGTTTTGTTGTAGTTGTAAGCTACTAATGCTTTTTTTTGGGAAGACCAGAGAGCAGGGCATTACAATAATCTAGGCGACCCGAAATAAAAGCATGCATGAGCACCTCCGTGCTGGCCTGAGATAGAAACGGGCGGACTCTGGCTATATTCTTGAGATGGTAAAAACCTATCTTCATGATGTTCTTAATGTGGGGAATAAAAGTGAGCTCAGACTCAAGAATAACGCCCAGGTTCTTAACACATTGTGAGGGTTAAAAATCTTGTAGTTTTGGTAAAAGTTTCTCTCTCAGGCCTTCAGGACCAATGACTAAAACCTCTGTTTTATTCTGGTTGAGTTGGAGGAAATTATCTGCCATCCATGATTTAATATCTGAAATGCAGTTAAAAAGGGCATCAACTGGCCCTGTGTCATCAGGAGACACAGCAATGTACAACTGTGTATCATCAGCGTAACTGTGGAAACTGATGCCGTGCCTCCTGATGACGTCCCACAAAGGAAGTGTGTAAAGATTAAAAAGAAGTGGGCCTAAAATTGACCCTTGGGGGACCCCACACTTACTTTTATGAGTTCTGGAGGAGCATGTATCCATATTTACAAAGAAAGATCGATCCATGAGATAGGAGTGGAACTACTTAAAAACGTTACCAGAGAGGCCAACCAAATGCTTTAGTCTGTTTAATAAAATGTGATGGTCTATGGTATCAAAAGCAGCACTAAGATCCAGTAAGACTAAGACTGTTAGTTTTTTGGTATCTAAATTACATCTGGTGTCATTTAAAATCTTCAAAAGAGCCGTCTCGGTGCTGTGGTTCATCCTAAAGCCAGATTGAAATTTCTCAGAAATATTGTTTTTAGTTAAAAAATAATTCACTTGGTTAAAAACTACCTTTTCTAAGATTTTACTTTAAAATGGTAGATTAGATACAGACCTGTAGTTGTTAAAAACATTGTGGTCTAGATTGCTCTTCTTCAGAAGGGGCTTCACCACCGCCATTTTATAGGCAGTGGGGACGACACCTGTCTGAAGAGAGCAATTCACTATATTTAAAATCTGTTCCTCGAAGAAGTCATAAAATGTCTTTAAAAGCGATGTGGGAATTGGATCTAAAAGGCAGGTTGTGGGGTTTACCTGGGAGAATACTCGACCAAGGGCCTTCGCATCAACCAGACTAAAACTCTCCAGTGTCTCTACAGGTAAAAGCAGTGATCCAGGTGTATTAAGAACAGCATTCTGATGAGATAAAACACTGGATCTGATGGTATCAATCTTGCTTCTGAAGTGGTCTGCAAAGTCCTCACAGAGGGTCACTGTAGGTGTCATGGACACATTAGAATATATTTCATAGTGGACTGTTAATTTGGTTTTTCTCCACCTTCTCTCTGCACTCCTGCATTTTCTCTTCAGTTGCTTGATGTTGCCATCTCTCCACGGTTGTGTTTTCTTAGTTCTTACAGTTTTAGTTAAAAGTGGAGCCACTGCATCTAGTGATGTCTTTAATTTGTTGTTAAAATCATCGACAATAAAATCACAAGGTGCAGGTAAAATTTCAGCAGGAGTCTTCTGTAAAATCTCTATAAAATTTGCAGCCACTTCAGAAGTAAGGAAGCGTTTCCTCACCGTTCTCACTGAGGCCTCTCGATGGCTAAAACTGGTGATATTAAAAAACATGCAGTAGTGGTCAGACACCGCTAGGTCAAACACAGAGGACACACCAGTGGGCAGGCCATAACTTATGACCAGGTCCAGAGTGTGTCCTCTGTTGTGAGTTGGCTGGGCAACGTGTTGGTTAAAATCCATGCAATCTAAAATATTTTAAAATTCTCTGGACATTGCGTCTAAACTGTTGTCAACATGTAAGTTAAAATCACCAGCTATTAAAATCCTGTTATAGGTAGAGTGTATGACTGAGAGAAGTTCTGAAAATTCATAGTATAGGGGGACTGCTAAAAACAAATGCATTGTATTCAAATGATGTATAACTGTTAAAAGAAACTTCACAAGAATTAAGGGATTTCAAGATAAAAGATGCAGTCCCACCTCCCCTGCCTTCCCTGGTAGAAAATAAAAAGCTAAAATCAGATGGACAGGCCTCAGAGAGGGAAACCCCTGCCTCAGTACCAAGCCATGTTTCTGTGAGCAATAAAATATCAAGTTTGCTGTCTATAATCAGGTCATTCATTATAAAAGTTTTGTTTAAAAGAGAGCGCACGTTTAGCATGGCCAAATTAATGACCCCACCAGATGAGCGCACCTCGCTGTCGCCACAAGTCCGGGGCCCCGAGCAGTCACTTAGAGCCACCCGGGGCTGTGGACCTGCAGAGACGGGCTTGTATTGATGGGAGTGATGACGTGAGCTGATGTGTACTGGGATGGGATTGCAAAATGAGAAACGAACAAAAGAAAACCTCCGAAGATGAATACTTGCTGACAAAAAGAAAAGCAAGGTCACTTACTGCCAAAGATGAATACTTGTTGACAAAAAGAAAAGCAAAGTCACTTATCTGTAATTATTTTGGTTACAAGAAGGATGAAGTAACCAAACACCTGTTCTGTGTCTGCAGTGCCTTTCATCTGTTTCCACGATAATGTCCCAGAACAATAAAAGCTAAAAACATCTCTAAGACGGACAGAAGCTATCCTACTAACATTCACAAAAAGAGGTAGGATCAGTGCAGGTTATCTGTCCTCAAGATTTCAGCAGTGCAGCTCAATATAAAGTGCTATTCAGGTCATCTGGTGAAATGCCTCTATTTTTTATTTTCATAATACATATCCCAGCGTTGAAAAAAATTGCAGTGTTAGTTTTTTCCACCATCGTGCAGTCTTACTCTATGGTAGCTGACTGAAGTTGAGTAATCTGCATGATCAAAAATCCTCTTAACTCGCTGAAATCTTGACAGATATTCAAATGGTTTTGTTTATTTACAGACCATAATGTGGCTATGAGTCAGGATGATTAGACATATTAAAATGTCAAATTTTCTTTGAGAAAAGAAAAGACTTCATCATGCAGCACAGTTGTTTCACGGCTATTTGCGCACTAGGGTTAACTCTGAGTTGCTTTGTCAAGGCTGAGACCACAATCGAGATTTAAAATTCTTGTATGACAGCTTATTTTTTTATCTACTTATTTATTTTGTCTCAGTGACAGTCTTTGTGGATGTGCTTGTGTTTATCAGCTGTCTAACTTGGCTAACAGACTCGCTGTGAGTGAGATCAAGTACGTATTAGTTGACCCAGCAATTTTACATCAGTTGGAGAGGCAAAAATGCTCTTTCGATTCAACATAACTGAAGTTGCACATGATTTCCAAACTGTTTGGTTTGTTAAAAACATCTAAAATGGAAACATTAGGCAGATATTTATATTGAAAATAAATACATATATTATTATGTATCAGACCGTGAGGCAGAGTTTTATTGAATCCCTTCAGGTTCTTGTTAAGTCAACAACATCAGTCAAAAAAGATTGTTTTCTGCACAACAGCACCTCTCCTCCTACCAGTGCAATATTGATTGGCAACTATTACCTAAAAAAATGCATATGGTGCATGGTTTGTCCGTTCTGTGCTACCATAGACACATGGTGGTGCAAAATATGGCCTACAAAAATGCACAAAAAACAGAATTCAGTTAAAACTGTATGATCTAGATCAGATAATTCTCCCTCTGGGGAGAGCTGTTTCCAGAGCCCACACTACGTGTTGAGGTGATTCTGACTATATCTTGATGGAACCTTTCCACCTCACACCAGTTCAGGCTACTTTCCCACCAGGGAGGTGACATTCCATGTCCCTAGAACTAGACTCTGCAGTCGAGGATCAGACCGCCAAGGGTCCACCTTCAGCTGCGGCCCAACTCACATTGCACCCAACTCCTTTGGCCCCTGCTATATGGGTGGTGAGCCCAAGGGAAGGGGGTCCCACGTTGCCTCTTTTGGCTGTGCCCAGCCGGCCCCATGGGTGCAGGCCCAGCCATCAGGTGCACGCCATCACCTGGGTGGCTCAGTAACCTGTGTGAGGAAAACTGGATACTAAATATTTTACTCATCAAAAAAGGTCTATTTGAGCTACCCTTAGTCTGATCCCACCTCCAGGACATGTTTGCCATGGTTGAACCTACCAGAAGCATAAAGCCCCGACAACTTAGCTCCTGGGATCATCAGGACACACAAACCCCTCCACCATGGTAAGGTGGTAGCTCGAGGAGGGGAATTAAAACCCTCCCATGGGAGAGAAAAACCACAAGGGTTTTTTTTTTTTTGTTGAAAGAATGTGGGAGAAAACCGGAGCACCCGGAGTAAACCCACACAGACACAGGGAGAACATGCAAACTACACACAGAAACACCCTGACCCGGATCCGAACACAGGACGTTCTAGTCATCCCTAGGCGGGAGACAACAACACATGGCCCTAAAGACTCTGCCAAAGAAACGTCTGACCCGTCTTAGTGGGCCACCTCTCCTTCTCACCGATGGACCTATTACAAGTTGAGGATCAGAGTCAAACCTCACTAGCTCACTTGTGTTTAAAACATCCTCCTCTGACTGGTTAATGTTGGTAAGAGCTGGATCTTCTACAGCTGAGCGGCTTATAGCTGCTTCAGCTTCAGCTGGTTCTTCTTGTTTGTCTACCACAGCAGCTGGACTAAGATGATTCTCCTCTGACCTGTTCCTGTAAGTGATGACCATTTTGTCCCTGGCGTCTTCCAGGTACTGGCTGCCAGCATTCTCCTGCAGGTGGACCATGGTGATGAATGGATGACTTAGAGCCTGCTTGGGGCTAATCCTCTTCTCTGGGTCAGTGTTTAGGAGACCCTTCAAGAGGCTCACAAAGGCTCTGCGGTCTTCGATCTCAATGGACCCATGGTTCCATGGGTAAAGTGTGACCAGGTCCTCCAGAGAATTAACACTCAGTTCGGGTTTAGGTTCAAGACCAGTTTTTGTCTGGTTTTTCACCAACCATTTTGGGTGTTCTGAGGATGGGTTCTTTACAAAGTAGTCTGTTGTGAATTTTCCAGCATTGAGGAGGTGATCAGCTGGCTGACCCATGATGGCTACGATGTTCTCCATGGTCCCAATCTCACTGAAGTCATTACCAAATGGGTTTTCACAGAGAAACATTTGGAACAGAAGACACCCCAAAGCCCACATGTCTATTGCCTCTGAGGAGGGGTTGCCCAGGAACAGTTCAGGAGCTCTGAAAGGGACTGTCGGGATTCCAAAACCGTCGTCCGCCTCAGAGGTCTTAACGGACAGACCGAAGTCTATAAGTTTGACTCTGAAAGGCTGGTCTCTCTGGTTAACCAACATAACATTATCAAGCTTTAGGTCATTGTATATGATCCCAATGTCTCCCAGGGCATCAAAGGCCGACAGAAGTTGCTGGGTGATTGGACGAATCTCACAAAGAGAGAATGGCCCACCGTTTTTTCGCAATTGATTAAAAAGACTTTGGTCCAGCATTTCAAAGACTACAAAAAGATAAGACAAAAAAAAAAAAAATCACGATTAGATGAGATAGAACAAGGTAAGAGTAACACTAAAGAGCATTAAAATACATGAATTATTAAAAAAGACCACTGCAAAATCTGAAATATTTACAAATGTTTTTTCTCTTATTTCTAACTAAAAAAAAATTATGCCTTTGTAAAGTATTTTAGACCAAATTAGTAATTTCTGAATATCAAGGTTTAAATACAATGGTACCCAGTGTTTGGTCTGAAATTAGACCTGATATTTTACAAGATGTTTTTAGTGCAGTAAACGTATAACTTTTTACCACATATCTCTGATATCCAAAGAAATACTTTCATTCAACAGTAAAACAGAATGGTGAAATGGAATATAATATACATACCTAGACAGGTGTGTCCGTAGTGCTCGAACCACTCAAAGAACTGCACAATGTTAGACTCGTCAGCGTCTAGAGTCCTAAGAGTTTGCAGGATCTCAATCTCGTTCGCAATGACGTCTTCTTGTTCGTTGTTGATGATCTTCAGGGCGACTGACTGCCCTGTAATGACATTTTTTGCTTTGACAACTTTACCAAAAGCTCCCTTGCTGAGGAACATTGAAACGCAGTATTGACCGAGGTCACCATTCAGTATATCTCCTGATTCAATATCATCAGCTTCAGCTAGTTCTATTTGTTTGTCTACCACAGAAGCTGGACTAAGATGATTCTCCTCTGATCTGTTCCTGTAAGTCATGACCATTTTGTCCCTGGCGTCTTCCAGGTACTGGCTGCCAGCATTCTCCTGCAGGTGGACCATGGTGATGAATGGATGACTTAGAGCCTGCTTGGGGCTAATCCTCTTCTCTGGGTCAGTGTTTAGGAGACCCTTCAAGAGGCTCACAAAGGCTCTGCGGTCTTCGATCTCAATGGACCCATGGTTCACAGGGTTAAGTGTGACCAGGTCCTCCAGAGAATTAACACTCAGTGCGGGTTTAGGTTCAAGACCAGTTTTTGTCTGGTTTTTCACCAACCATTTTGGGTGTTCTGAGGATGGGTTCTTTACAAAGTAGTCTGTTGTGAATTTTCCAGCATTGAGGAGGTGATCAGCTGGCTGACCCATGATGGCTACGATGTTCTCCATGGTCCCAATCTTACTGAAGTCATTACCAAATGGGTAGTCAAAGAGAAACATTTGAAACAGAATACACCCCAGAGCCCACATGTCTATTGCCTCTGAGAAGGGGAGGCCCAGGAACAGTTCCGGAGCTCTGTAAGGAACTATCGGCATTCCCAAACCGTCGTCCACTTCAGAGGTCTTAATGGACAGACCGAAGTCTATAAGTTTGACTCTGAAAGGCTGGTCTCTCTGGTTAACCAACATAACATTTTCAAGCTTTAGGTCATTGTATATGATACCAATGTCTCCCAGGGCATCAAAGGCCGACAGAAGTTGATGGGTGATTGGACGAATCTCATGAAGAGAGAATGGCATACCGTTTTCATTCAATAGATCGTAAAGACTTTTGTCCAGCATTTCAAAGACTACAAAAAGATAAGACAAAAAAAAAAATCACGATTAGATGAGATAGAACAAGGTAAGAGTAACACTAAAGAGCATTAAAATACATGAATTATTAAAAAAGACCACTGCAAAATCTGAAATATTTACAAATGTTTTTTCTCTTATTTCTAACTAAAAAAAAATTATGCCTTTGTAATGCATTTTAGACCAAATTAGAAATTTCTGAATATCAAGGTTTAAATACAATGGTACCCAGTGTTTGGTCTGAAATTAGACCTGATAATTTACAAGATGTTTTTAGTGCAGTAAACGTATAACTTTTTACCACATATCTCTGATATCCAAAGAAATACTTTCATTCAACAGTAAAACAGAATGGTGAAATGGAATATAATCTACATACCTAGACAGGTGTGTCCACAGTGCTCAAACCACTCATAGAAATTCACAATGTTAGACTCGTCAGCGTCTAGAGTCCTAAGAGTTTGCAGTATCTCAATCTCGTTCGCAATGACGTCTTCTTCTTCGTTGTTGATGATCTTCAGGGCGACTGACTGCCTTGTAATGACATTTTTTGCTTTGACAACTTTACCATAATATCCGCTGTCGATGAACTTCAAAATGTAGAATATACCGTAGTGACCATCCAGTGTTTTTCCTGGTACAATATCAATATCTGCAGACACCTCATCCTGATAAACTGTTTCCCAGCTGGCTTCGCTTGAATGAGCCATTTTCGAGTCTAAGATAACTTTTACCACAAACAAAGTGCTGCTGATAAATCTCTCTAATTCTTGTTCCAATGTTGTGAATTAAGGTGAAACAAAGGTTCTTTGGTACTTTGGACAAGGTTCTGGACACAGAGTCTCTTGTGAGACATCAAAGTTCCGTATGACATCACTGATGACATCAGCATCATCAAAGACGCTCCATATGACATAACTGATGACATCAGCTCTGTTACCATGGCAACCAGTTTTAAATTTTGAATTGAGAGAAGAGTTGGTACAGAGAAATCCTTTTTTTGTATTCTAACTTTTTAAACTAAGTAAATATACTGAGAGTATTTTCAATTATTGTTATTTAGTTCTTTATTATTATCATTATTATTATTATTATTATTATTATTATTATTATTATTATTATTATTATTATTATTCCATACCCTTTTATAACCTTCCTTCTGTGTTAGCTTTTACTAAGCACCCACCATGTTAAAGGTCAGTTTTGACCTGTGTCTTAAATCAGCTGTAAATTACACTAAAAACAATTTTCTATCATCCAATTTGGTTCTCATCACTAGATTAACTTGTTAGGCTACATTATCCATGAAAATATTGCTTTTAATATTTTTTGTTTTAGGCCTTTGGGCCTTTCTTTGTCAGTATTTCCTAAATCTCACATGAATGGAAGAGGATCTGACTGTTAGTGCATTTATGATTTCAGTTTTTGCTCTTGTTACAGACCAAAAGATGTAAAAGGGGACGAAGTTAGTAACAATAGTTTGAAAAAGAACCAAGGTTAAGTAACAGTGTCCGGGGTAAATAATCTAACAGAAAAGTTTATTCTTGAGGTTAAACAACCGACTTAAAACAAGCACTAGGCCGAGAAAAACACCAATACAACAGAAATGGTAAGCTAAAGTGACAAAAGAAAACAGCAAATGCACTGCAGGCTCCACTGCCACCTGCTCAGCCCAGCCACTACTGAACCACACCAGTCACACACTCTTTCAAAGAGGATTTGAAGCCTCTGTTTATTAGGAGACCTATCTACATTAAAACTTGACAAAACACACGTTCACTTCTAGAGGCACTAACCGTCGCCAGGAAAACTATCCTCATGAACTGGAAGTCTCGGAACTCCATACACATCATACACTGGAAAAACCTGCTCATAGACTACATCTCCTTAGAAAATACAAACTCCTCTGACAATAATCATAACTCTACCTGGTTATCATTCATCACTTTTCTACAATCATAATCTGCCACAAACCAGTCACAACATCATCCATCTCAGTTCTCTGACATTTTCATTCCCAATTTTTTTATTTTTTTATTTATCTATTTATTATTATTTTATTTTATTTTATTTTATTATTTATTTATTTTATTATTATTATTATTATTATTTATTATATTTTTTTACTACATATTACTACAAATATTATGATGAATATTATTGTCATTGTCTATTATTATTATTATTATTTATACTTATTTATTTATATACTTACATTTACAGTTATTATTTTCTGCTTGGGTCCCTGCTGGGTCGCGCCTGTTAGGTCATGACCTGTGATCTCCTTGCTCTCCCGGCCTCCCCCCTCCCCCAGTTCTCCGCCCTGGGCTGTCTTCAGATGGCACATCACCTTTTTTATTGCACATCACACTAGATGAGGAAGAGGAAAGGGGTTTGAGATTTGAAGATTGAAACCAGCGCTGCACAATAGCGTTGTGCGCATTCGGCAGGAGAGTCGCTGTGATGACGCTCGGCTCAAACAGCATATCCCACCGGGTGAGCTACGCAATCCCTGAATGCCAATAGGCTGTATCAGGTGTCAATCAAAGAAAACATGAACCCCCTAATAACTTTTGAAAATTGAGCTGCACAGAAAACCAACCCTCCTCCTTTATCCGGGCTTGGGACCAGCAAAACTGACCCATCTGAGACAATTTGGCGGAGTTACTGAGGTTTTCTTTTTTTCTTTTTTTTTAAGGTTTTGTATCATGCACTGTTGGGAGAAACCAGAGCACCCGGAAAAAACCCTGATGTGCGGCCTGTGTGTGTTCAATTACACCATAGAGTCTGGGAGCCTCTTACCCCTCTCGAAACAACCGAAGTTGAAGCTGGCTCTAATCCATCCAGCAACTCTTCCAAACTAGCTGTTGTTCTTCGTCTCCTCATACTCTGCAGACAGATGGGTACTTCTCCAAATCTCCTCTTCTTTAGTCTTCCCCTCCTCAGGTTGGTGGTATTCAGAGCAGATAGTGTCCATAAGTACTGCAACCCCGGACTCCATTATGACCGTTGTGTCCCTAAAAGATCTTTGGGGGACTATTTCAGTCGTGAAGGGATGTTGCAGGACTTCATGGGGTTTGATGCGTTGCTCTGGGTCTGTATCCATCATCTTTTTAATTAGGTCCACAAACAGATGGTAATCTTTGTCATGTCCTCTCTGCAGGTCCATCAGCTCTTCGAGGTCATCCAAACCATAGACTGTATATACTATGGACTACTTGGTTCCACCTACCGCCTGTATACGGATTTAAAGCCAAAAATTTCTCGGTGTTTCCAGGATTTTTCTTCATTTCCTGAAACCAGCGCTGTGCAGTAGCGTTGTGCGCATTCGGCCGCGCATTCGCAGAGAGTCACTGTGATGATGCTCGGCTCAGACAGCGTATCCCCCCGGGAGAGCTACTCAATCCCTGAACAACCATAGGCTGTATCAGGTGTCAATCATAGCAAACATGAACATGAATAACTTTTAAAAACGGAGCTTCACAGAAAAAAAGAGGACTTGAGCACAAACCAGTTACAATAACTACATGTCAACATCGCAAGCAGGGGGGAGAAAAAATTATGTTCTGTGTAATAAATTTCTAAAGTTGCTCCACAGTCCCATAAGCTTTGCTGGCGGAGGCGGGATTTATGACCTATACTGCAGCCCATCAACAGAGGGTGCTGTTCTCGGAGTGGCTTCACCCAGCAAGGAGGCAGACGGCGTCCATTCTGTATACAGTCTATGATCCAAACTGTCAAGACTGTGGTAGTTGACCTGAGGCAGGAATCCTGATTCTTGTTCAAACTTCTCTGGTGTCTTCAGTCTGCAGTGCCATGGGGCAGCATCTTGTGGCGTAAAAAAGTACACACCAAGATACCACATGTCCACAGCCTCATCATAAGGAAGCTGCATTAGTACTCCCTTGTTTCCCTCAGTAGTTGGGCGGCTCCTCTCCTACTCTGGCACCTCTGGAATGTACACACCTGCATCTCATCTCCAATCACTGTGCCCTCTTAAGCACTATTGTGAGGCTCCTCAGCGTCAGATGATTTCAGCTTCTGTTGAGTATCAGACCGACAACTACGAGTTTCAAAAGTTTGTATATTCTCGCTACTTGTGCATTTTACCTGTGCTTACCCCTGCTCTCCTCTTTTCTCCTCCAGTGCCTCCTCTAGCCCGTCCCTCCGAGCCCCAACCTCTGCCACGCTGCCAACACTCACCTACCTCCGTATCGCTCACTTGCACCTCAGAGTCTCCCTGCACCCTGGACCTTGGATTACCTCCCTTCCTTCACCACCACTAACAATAAACCTTTCAAAACTTCCTCTGCCTCGGATTTGCTTCTGGGTTCAACTTTAAAAACACTGATTAGGAAATCATTACACTATATACACTCTTTCCATCACTATACTGAATAAATCATCGTAATATACAATTAATATACTCGATACTTCAATATCCAACTATCATCAAGTGCTTTTTGATGTACAGATGTGCAAATGCTCATAGATGTACATATGCACAAGTACTGTATGTCCTTGTCAAGGCCACTTACTCACATTTATGATGTTAGGAAAACAAAACACATCAGCATCGGTATAATCTATCAAAATTGATTTACTACATAGAAAGGGAGGGAATAATCCTTTATTTTCACAAAAAACAAATAAGCAACAACTTTCAATGCATTCAATACAGATTAAGCAATGCTTATTCATAGAATATAAAGTCATGATACATCATGTTAGCAGAACACAGTAATCACAACTGCAAGTGAGACTAGATCTGTGATTAGGGCCTTGTAGTTGAAACTTTTGGTACATAAGACTGATATTACGTTGTCATAATCATGACATGGCATCTGTCATTAACATGAATAAGGCTTATGAAGGTTGTCATTAGGTGTCATTCGGTAAATTCTGACACCTTTGGTGCTATGTTGACAACAACATACATTTTAACACAAACTCAGAGTTGAATAGTTTTACCATTTTACAGTGGCCCACTTCCATGTCTGTACAGCTCAGCTCATCTCCTGTGAAATGTGCGCAAATACACGTAAGCAGTGCCAAAGACCACCTCTTAAAAGTGGATGCAGTACTCATACTTGAGTGCGATTCTGTTCAAACTGATCAAATACATAGAACTTTGGAGTCAAGTAAATACAGGCCCTAGTCCTTTATGTGAAAACACTCAAACAGTAAAAATATCTGTAAGAAACAAAATATGGTGAGCATGGACTTTTTCTTTGTTTTGGTTGGCTGGAGTCCACCCTTTCGGGCGGATATGTCTTGCTGTCTATCACCTGCTTGAAGAGGCTGCTCCCTTCCCCCTTGCGGCGCTGAGGCTGATCACACACACCTTTAAGACCACTTAAGACTCATGCCTAAGCGCCAGAGTACTTCCGCCTATACGCAGTGGTGCTTGGCTACAGAACACAATTGAGATATCGTAACCTACATTTGAAGATTTTTCCAGTGCCTGCTTTTTCTGGTTTTTAACCCTCACTCCTCTAGCCAGCCAGCCACCGAGCACTCTCCCTCTCACCAGGACATCTCCCGGACCTTGTCTCCGTCACCTGGAAAAGCACTAACTTCAATAAACTTGTTTTGTCTCCCCCCCCCCGGTTCTGGATCCATCTCAACACTCAGCCATCACACAAAACATGTTAACTATGAATAATTATGAAGTTTTTACAGTGTAACAGCATCACCTACTGGTGACCTCCAGTATAGCACAGATATGTGACATATATGTTATTGTTATATGTTATTATAGTTATCCCTATGATAGACATATTACTAATATAATATACGTGGAATGATTAAATGTTTTATACATAAATTATTTAATATAACTGCCTTGTGTGTATAGGCCTATAGCTATTGCTCTACCTATCGGCTTAATGTTTATTTATGAAGAACCATAGTTAAAATTATTCTTGAGTAATCAGGAACTTAACTAAAACTCTGGGGTTTGTTACAAACCAAACCGTCCAAAAATCAGTTTAAAATGAAGTAATCTATGGTCATTTAAATGCTACATGCACCGTAGACTGGAATGTTATGAGTGGGCGAACGGCCTGAAACAAAATGGTCGCCATGCGCGGACGTCGGTCTCCATTGGCTAACAGCGTGTGTAAGCCATTTAGCGTTTATATGTCTATGTATGTAACTGCCTCTCACCAATATTCATTCGTGAATTTTTGGTAGTCCAATGTCCATCCATCTTTCCCTTTGTTTACATGAAGATAATTCAGATGGAGCTAATATTCGCTAACGAGTTTCCTTCCGGTACAAAAAAGGATCAGAACGCCTCCGAAGATAGCGCCACAGAAGATCGGTAAAAGCAACTGGTTCATTCGAGCTCAGGTAAGTTTCAAGAATTAAAAAAGAAAAAAAGAAAAAGGAAGAAGATCCAATATTAAGCCCTTTTTAATTACAAGCAGCCTAAGAGGTATGTGTGTTTTTGTCTAGTTTATGTCGCGATTCACACCTCCTAGCTTAAATGAATGAACCGCTATATGTTACGCGCCTTAATTACTATGCAATTAAAATGTTAGTACTATGTAGTTTATGTGTTTTTACACGCAGTTTTATATACATGGGTTACAAAAATTGTGGTATGTATCAAATTTGATTAACTATTCTGTGTTATATAGCTTGGAAGCTACATTTGTGATTACAGCCATTTCATTCATTTGGTGTGTATTTGTTTCCACTTGTTCTCACGGCTTTGGTCTGAGAATAAAGTACCCCGTTTTTTTAACCAACATCTCCTGACCATAGACTGTATATAAGATGGACACCGTGGTTCCGCCTTCCGCGTGTATACGGATTTGAAGTCAAAAAGCTCTCTGTAATTCCGGGTTTTTCTCCACTTCCTTGAAACCAGAGCTGTGCAGTAGCGTTGTGCGCATTCGGCTGCGCGGTTGCCGAGAGTGTGATGACGCTCGGCTCAAACAGCATATTCCCCCCAAAAGAGCCCATAGGCTGTATCAAGTGTCAATCATAGAAAACATGAACCCCCTAATAACTTTTAAAAACGGAGCTTCACAGAAAAAAGAGGACTTGGGCACAAACCAGTCTTACTGTAACTATATGTCAACATCACAACCAGGGGGGAGAAAAAATTATGTTCTGTGTAATAAATTTATAAAGTTTATCCACAGTCCCATAAGCTTTGCTGGCGGAGGCGGGATTTATGACCTGTACTGCAGCCCACCATCAGGGGGTGCTGTTCTCGGAGTGGCTTCACCCAGCGAGGAGGCAGACTCTGTCCATCTTATATCTGAGCTGCGTCCGAATTGCCAAGTAGTAGTCGAAGTAGTAGTCGAAGTAGTATCTAGCATGTCCGAATTGGCCACTGGAGCGAGTAGCATGCTACTTCAGATATTACTTCAGATACTAGAGACGCCCACATTGTAGGTTGGTCGCGGTCATAGACTGTATATAAAATTGACACCCTGGTTCCGCCTTCCGCGTGTATACGGATTTGAAGCCAAAAAGCTCTCGGTAATTCCGGGTTTTTCTCCACTTCCTTGAAACAAGAGCTGCGCAGCAGCGTTGTGCGCATTCGGCTGCGCAGTCGCTGAGAGTCCCTGTGATGACACTCGGCTCAAACAGCGTATTCCCCCGGAAGAGCTACGCAATCCCTGAACGCCCATAGGCTGTACCAGGTGTCAATCATAGAAAACATGAACCCCCTAATAACTTTTAAAAAAGGAGCTGTACAGAAAAAAAGAGGACTTGGGCACAGACCAGTCTTACTGTAACTATATGTCAACATCACAACCAGGGGGGAGAAACATTTATGTTCTGTGTAATAAATTTCTAAAGTTTATCCACAGTCCCATAGGGAACCGAAGTCATGCTAACTTCCGGGTTAGCATACGGTCCTATGGAGCCCATCAAAATGAATGGACAGATATACACTCACCGGCCACTTTATTAGGTACACCTGTCCAACTGCTCGTTAACACTTAATTTCTAATCAGCCAATCACATGGCGGCAACTTAGTGCATTTAGGCATGTAGACATGGTCAAGACAATCTCCTGCAGTTCAAACCGAGCATCAGTATGGGGAAGAAAGGTGATTTGAGTGACTTTGACCGTGGCATGGTTGTTGGTGCCAGAAGGGCTGGTCTGAGTATTTCAGAAACTGCTGATCTACTGGGATTTTCACGCACAACCATCTCTAGGGTTTACAGAGAATGGTCCGAAAAAGAAAAAATATCCAGTGAGCGGCAGTTCTGTGGGCGGAAATGCCTTGTTGATGCCAGAGGTCAGAGGAGAATGGCCAGACTGGTTCGAGCTGATAGAAAGGCAACAGTGACTCAAATAACCACCCGTTACAACCAAGGTAGGCAGAAGAGCATCTCTGAACGTACAGTACGTCGAACTTTGAGGCAGATGGGCTACAGCAGCAGAAGACCACACCGGGTGCCACTCCTTTCAGCTAAGAACAGGAAACTGAGGCTACAATTTGCACAAGCTCATCGAAATTGGACAATAGAAGATTGGAAAAACGTTGCCTGGTCTGATGAGTCTTGATTTCTGCTGCGACATTCGGATGGTAGGGTCAGAATTTGGCGTCAACAACATGAAAGCATGGATCCATCCTGCCTTGTATCAATGGTTCAGGCTGGTGGTGGTGGTGTCATGGTGTGGGGAATATTTTCTTGGCACTCTTTGGGCCCCTTGGTACCAATTGAGCATCGTTGCAACGCCACAGCCTACCTGAGTATTGTTGCTGACCATGTCCATCCCTTTATGACCACAATGTACCCAACTTCTGATGGCTACTTTCAGCAGGATAATGCGCCATGTCATAAAGCTGGAATCATCTCAGACTGGTTTCTTGAACATGACAATGAGTTCACTGTACTCAAATGGCCTCCACAGTCACCAGATCTCAATCCAATAGAGCGTCTTTGGGATGTGGTGGAACGGGAGATTCGCATCATGGATGTGCAGCCGACAAATCTGCGGCAACTGTGTGATGCCATCATGTCAATATGGACCAAGCTCTCTGAGGAATGCTTCCAGCACCTTGTTGAATCTATGCCACGAAGAATTGAGGCAGTTCTGAAGGCAAAAGGGGGTCCAACCCGTTACTAGCATGGTGTACCTAATAAAGTGGCCGGTGAGTGTATATAACTACTGGTCCGCTTTGGTATACGCCGTGGATTTCACATATAATGTTTATCATGTTTAAATTTACATTTTAACCTCGAAAAAGCCGTGATTTTAGACATGTTGCTATAACTACAGTTTAATTTAGAGTGAGACCACGTAATGAACTACACCGCTCGTCGCACTATTTTTGCGTCACTGTCTAAGCTTTGACAGACGACGATGGCGGTGACTTTGGCAAGTTTCACGTCCTTCTTCCAGGATGAAGGAAAGAGTATTAAACGTGGTGAAAACCACTACAAGTTGGGTCATGTTGAGAGTGGGAGTTACGCCGGCGGAGAGATAGTTGGTCGAGTGAGAGCAATTTCGAGAGAGAAATACTGACGTGACGTCATTTACGCGACTTCTTGAGGTCTGTAGTCTCTCCATTTACGTGTTTTCAAAGACAAATAGATCAACAATTACACAACAAACATAGCCTTTATTTACCTTAATGGTTATCATTTAAGTTAAAATACAACATATTTGTGACTCAGGGTGTAAAACAAAGCGGACCAGAAAATACCATAGACCTGTCCATTCACTCCTATTATCCCAATAGGACCTATAGCGCTAACGCGGAAGTGGGCGTGGCTTCGGTTCCCTATAAGCTTTGCTGGCGGAGGCGGGATTTATGACCTGTACTGCAGCCCACCATCAGAGGGTGCTGTTCTCGGAGTGGCTTCACCCAGCGAGGAGGCAGACTCTGTCCATCTTATATACAGTCTATGGCTGTGTCTCATTTCAGAGACCGCATCGGCTTAAGTGCACTTCTGCACCGTCGAACGGTGCATTTGAAGCGTGCATGACGTCACGACGGTGCGAACGGTGTCCCATTTGGCACGAGATGCTAAGAAATGCTAAGCGCGCTTAGCATGTTTTCGAGCGTATCCCAGAATGCTTTGCGTGCCGCTGCGCATTTCAGGTGAGAGGCTGGACGCGCTTGGAGACACAGTGCGTCTTCAAAGAAAGTACAAGAAATCCAAAAACAGCAGACAGGTCAGCTTTGTGGTTTTTGAAGAAACAATCAAACTGATGATGATCAACATTTGTGATCCAGAGGGAGTCGAGCTCCGACGAGCACCACATCTCTGACACCTACACCGTCCTGCAGAGACACCAACACCTTATTATGGCATATGGATTCATATCATAAACTAAAGCTCAATATCATTCACGGATATTTACGGCTGCATAAATGGATATATCCTCAGCATATTCATTTCTGCCTCCACAAAAGCAGCAATTTCCTTCAAGTACACCAGTTTTTTTCCCCGTGGAAAAAACGTATTTCTCATATATTCTTTTTAAAGTCTTTATACTTATGACAATGTAATGCTGATGTACCAAAGGATGAAGTATCTCCTTGTTTGTGAAAGCTATCCTGAAGCACAGTTCCTTCAAATGCTTCATGGCCCTAATTTTAACAAGTCTCCTTAGAAATAACAGGAAACTTTAAAACTTTATTCTCATACATTTCCACCATTACTGTTTCACTATTTTTTTACTTTTTGGAAGCTATTGACCAGAACACCAGAACTCCATTGTTGGCTCGACTACAGCTGCTGAGCCACCAGGCCGGGACCAGGGCCCAGTGACAACTTAGCCACCAGGCCAAGCCCAAGAGTCAGGGCCACCGCTGTGGAATCGAGCTGCTTCAACAGAGCTGATACAAAGGCCAAGAGTCTGCCATGATGTTTAAATAACCTGATGAACAGCAGAGAGCGCCAGTAGCCCACTAGCCACCAGGCCAGCCCGGGAGCAGCCACCACCACCAGGCAGCAACTAGCCACCAGGCCAGCCCAGGAGCAACCCCCACCACTAGGCAGCAGCTAGCCACCAGGCCAGTCCAGGAGCAACCCCCAACACCAGGCAGCAGCCACCACCACCAGCCAGGGTCTGTGATTTTTTCTTTTGTGGTTTACGAGTAGCGAATCATGGCTCATTCCACGCGAGGAAGGGGCAAAGAGGAGGCTCTGGTGTCACTCTCCCAAGTACGGGAGATGCTGGACTAGCAAAAACAGTTCTTTATAGGTATATTGGAGCAGCAAGAGAAAAGCTACTGTAACTGTATGCAGATCATGATTGAGGCGTCCAATAAAACAGTGGAGGAGCTCTCCAGAGAACTCGGTGACCTGAGAGAGAGCCTACACTTTACACATAAGGACGTGGATGAGCTGTCGGCGAAGGAAAAGGAGAGTCACAAAATGTTAAATGAGATGAAATCTGGAGCCTCCAAATTAGAGTCAAATCTACAGTCTCTGACTGGAAAATCAGACTATCTGGACGCGCAGTCAAGAAAAAACAACATTATCATTGATGGAATACCTGAGTCACCAAATGAAAACTGGGCAGAATCAGAGGAGAAAGTGCGGAAACTGATCTCAGAGAATCTTGATCTTGACCATCGGGCCATAGAGATGGAACGAGCGAGCAGGATAGGGAAGCAGGTAACAGATAGAGATAGACCAAGACCCATTATTGTTAATTTACTCAAACACAAGGACAAACTTTCCATTATGGAGAGGTCAAAAAAACTCAAGGGTACAAATGTCTTTATTAATGAGGACTATACCGAAGTAGTGAGACTGCCTGAAATGAAAGCTACCCGTGCTCGCGGGGACATTGCCTATCTGAGCCATGATAAACTGATCATACATCCTCGTGCCAAAAAGCAGCCCAAAAATGGTGGACAACCTAAATGAAAAAATAAATGGTATGGTCCCCCCCTATTTGTTTAGAAGTTGGTTTTAATTTATTTTGTTTTTTATGTCCTCACAAACCTGTCTCAACATTGAATCAGCCAATCAAATGTGTGGGATTAGACCACAGGTAAACTTTGAGCACTTTGAGCGAATGGTGGTTCTGACGTTGATGCCAATTTATTAAACCAAGCCCTAAATGGGTCAAAAAACTGTGAATATTATAACGAGAGTCATTTTAATAATTTCTGCAGTGCCCTCCCTGCTAATGAGCTGTCTTTCTCTTCTTTACATCTCAATATACGGAGCCTACCAAAAAATTATGGAAAGCTGAATCTTTTTTTGTCTAACAATATACATATATTTTCCATTATTGCCCTAACGGAAACCTGGCTACCCAGGGCACTAGAATCCCTATATAAAATTAACAACTACAATGGGGTTCATTCACATAGAGAAGACAGCGCGGGAGGAGGAGTGTCAATTTTTTTACATAACAATATAATCTTTAAAAACAGAGACCTTGTATCCCATCTGGAGAATGTCAGCACAGAGTCTGTATTTGTAGAACTTCCATCTTGCTTTTATTTTGGTGGTCAGAATGTACTGTAATCATATTGTTATGGCTGATTTTGCCTTGTTTTTTTTTCAGGTCATGTACGATTGTGTGAAGCTTGCATAGGTTACAGAGTAAAGCAAATGTTCAAGACATTCAAATATTAACTTTTATTAAACATTAAACTGGGCGGCACAGTGGTGTAGTGGTTAGCACTGTCACCTCACAGCAAGAAGGTCCTGGGTTCGAATCTGGGTAAGGGTGTTTCTGTGTGGACTTTGCATGTTCTCCCTGTGTCTACATAGGTTTACTCCAGGTACTCCGGTTTCTTCCCACATGCCTAAGTGTGATTAGGTTAATTGGCCACTTCCAAATTGCCCATAGGTGTGGATGGTTGTTCGTCTCTATATGTCAGCCCTGCGATGAACTGGCTACTTGTCCAGGGTGTCCCCTGCCTTTGCCCAAAGATGCTGGGACAGGCTCCAAAAACCCTTAAAGTTTTGAGGGCCCAGTGCTTTATCAGCAGTGAGCCCTGATAAAGAAGGAGTAAAGGTCAAACCTCTTTATGAAGTGCATGATGGCCATCCATCAGCCTGGACAATTGATCTGACATGCATGTTTCAAATTCAAAATACATTCAAAATATGGGTGTTGGCACTGTGTGCCTGCATTGTTATCCATTCAGATACACACTAGGAATAAGTCACACATTAAAAGGTTCACACGTGTTTTTGCAGGGACAAGAGAGCTGACAGATAAATTCATCTGGCTCCGGGGGGAGAGGCAGCACCTCTTCACCGGAGCCAAAAATTCAGCTGTTGCTGGATGGCGGTAAGGAACACCAAATGCTCAAGAAGTTATATCTGCCCGTAGTATGTTAAATTATAGGTCATGTGACTAATTATAAATCTTTGCACCCTTGTGTGTGAATGTGACATATATTAACTTTTTGTGTCACTTCTCTTTGTGACAAGAGCTGTACTGTCAGAGCTCCAGCTTTTAGATCAGGTGACCCCCCTGCAGGCAAAGAGGAAGTGGGAGAATTTAAAACGAAAATATAAATTATGTGAAGGTTTTTATGATGCTGCTTAACATTGAACATTGGGACATTAAGAATGTGTTGGTTTCCCTCCCTGCAAGTTATTAAACAGTTTTTCTTTTTCTCAGGAATGCAAAGAGCCTCCCACAGGTGGCGGCAGCAGCAGCAGCAGGAGGAGGAGGAGAAGGAGGAAGAAGAAGAAGAAGAAGAGGATGAGGACATTGAACTACAACCTCACCCAAGGGGCAGGAAAAGGAGGAGGAGGCCAGCATCCGATCCGCTCCTGGCTCTGCTAAGAGAGGACATTTGACACCAGCAACAAGCTGAGGCCAGAAGCCAGGAGCGGATGGACCGGATGCTGGCCTTACTCGAAAAAAATGGTGGACAGCAATTGAGTTGATTTCTGTTTATGTTACTATTATATTCACACTTATTTTTGTGAAGAATTTTTAATTTTACATTAATAATGGCATTTAATTTATTAAAGAATTTTAAGTTGCTTACACCGTCTCCAGGCTATTCATATGTCCCTCCTCAAGCTGTGTTGGCAACAGAATGGCCAGATAGCATCTGGTGCATCCTCACATAATAAAGATTTCAGAGTTTTCATTTGAGTTATATCTTTTTATTAAAGGGTGAGGAAAATGAAAATGGAATAAAATACTGAGGTCAACGACATACAAACTAGAAAAGCACTCGGAGAGCGCAGACCTCTGCCAAGCAGCCCATGTCCCCCCTCATATTGTGATTCACACCAAAACTTTTAATGTAATGTGTCTTTTATCAATTTTTATTTGTGTTTAAACTGGTATGTTTACTGTACATAAAGTTCCTAAAACAACAAAGCTTATATTAGATACATAAAGGCATGATTTATTATGCAATATTTGTAAGCGTACACTTCCTTGTATCTTCATTGGTTATCTTTCAGCATTGAAAATTCCAATGACAAAATTATTTTTGTGTGTTCTGGATCACAGTATCCAGAATTTTGTCTGGATCAGGATCAAACTTTGACACCTCATAAAACTCATTGAGATCCTTTTGTGTAATTTTTTACTAAATAGGCCTTGAGCTAGGACTCCAAATATGGGGTCATCGGTATCAACTGGGGGGAATAATTCTCATAGTGATTTTTGGGTAGGTATACACCTCTAGTACTAGAAAAATGTGATTGCATTGCATCTGTGGTAGCTTTCTGTGTGTAATCACTCAAAATCCGAATTAATCATTCTACTTCAAACTGATGGTTCTCTCTTATTAATTGACCCTATCTCTGTGAAAAAATGTCAGAATAAAGCCCAGGCTATATATTGTTCAGTAGAGTTGTTGGAATCAGCATCTCTAGATGTTTTTTTCTCTTTTAAGCAGTGACAACATAGTGACAATATATGTCTTCCGTTTTCATGAAAGATCTAACACAAAGGTTTAATTTGTACACAACCTAAACATGTTAATACATAAAACATGGTAAGTAATGCATAGGCTATATATTTCTACTTTATTCTTGCTGTGATTTAAGTTGTCACACTCACACCTGGCCTGAGTCAGTCTAAATGGATGGAGCTGGGTGTGCACAACACACACATGCTGTGCATTGAGTTAATTGAGGCACACAGTATAAATAGGCCAGTCAGTGGTGGTGGCGTAGTCCTGTACAACACAATTCAGAGAACAGCAGAGTGGTTTCATGTCAAGGAGCTGAATCAGAGTGTTTTCATGTCAAGGAGCTGAATCACTTTCCTTCATGATGGAGGGTCCTAAGCAGATCTACTGGCCTGTTACTGTCCAAAGAAATGTTCACTCCCAAAATGTGTCTGTAGTGCAAATGACCTCAAGTGTACTGACATGTGTAGACTGGCAGACTGTGAGAACCAAGCATCCACCTCAGACAGTGTGGAAAGTTCAGATGAAGAAGTGGATGAAAATGATTTTGATTATTAGGTTGTGAACGTATAGAAGTCAAAAGTATGATCTGTATAATTGAGAATTGGAAAGATTCAGGCCTACACTATTCCTGAACGGCAAACATAGGGATATACACCAAAACCACCTTTCTTGGTTTAACTCTGTCCCAGAACAAAGTAAAGAACAAGCCAGGAACTGACATGTAGAGAAGGTGGCGAGGATCCAGGCAAAATTAAACATACAAAAATAAATAAATAAAAAAAAACACCCTCCCCTATTGTTGCTACCTTGTCGTGGTGGGGAGGCTTGTGTGCCTCAGTGACCCTGAAGACTACACCGGCCGGGGTTATACCCCTGGTAGGTATAACCATGCCGGGCAGTTTTCAGGGGCCTTATTTATCAATCGTGCATAGAAAAGGTTCTATATTCTTGCGTGGGAATGAAATTTGAGAATGTGCGTAAGTACAAAAAAATCTGTATTTATCAAACATGCGGACACCGGTCGTACGCTCACCAGTAAGTGATCGGTGATGATAAATCCCACCTGTTCTTAACCACCGTGCTCGTGCATGGTTAGGGTCATTTGCATTCAGAAACGCCTCTTATTGACCATATATGGTATCAACAATCCCTTTTAAAAATGCCTGAATGGATTTTCCCCCCTCGTCGAAATCATGGCAAAGAGGTCGAAGAAGAGGAATTTTTCGGACGCTGAGCTTGAAGTTCTCGTTGGAGAGGTAGAAACTAATCAAAAAGTTTTATTTGGAACATTGAATGCAGGAGTTACGAACAAAAGAAAATATGCCACCTGGGAGAAAGTGACGGCTGCTGTGAACGCTGTTGGGTCGGAGGCAAGATCACTTACCGAAATAAAAAAGAAATGGTTTGATGTTAAGATCAGAGCCAAAAAACAAGTCACAGCCCACAGACAAGAATTATCCATGACCGGAGGAGGACAAACCACTACTCAGCTTTCACCACTGGACACCCACATTGCCAGCATAATAGGAAGCACATCGTTAATTGGTATCATTCCTGACGGAGACACAGCTACTCCCCCAACAGCTGTACCATCGACCAGTCACACAGCAGGTAAAATAAAAAGCTGGACTGAGGTGTTTCATAAACCATTTATTTAGACAGAATTGAAATGAACGTGACAATCATGCAATGTTTCTTCAATAACTCAGAAATTCAAGCCAGCCCCGCCTGCCCCCAGGAGCCGGAGGCGGTGGAAGAGCCGGGGGAGTTGGAGGAGCAGGAGCAGCCGGGGCCATCCAGTACCCATTCGGTGCGTCCTGGGGGACCAAGGGTTCTGACGGAGGCAGTACTACAAAATCAACAAGACACCACGAAAGCAATAAGTGAAATAAAGGAGCAGCTTACAGACATAGCAAATACTTTGACGCAAATAAATGACTCACTTAAACAGATCGCTGCATGCGCCTCACAAATGTTGTCCAAATAAACTGTGAAATGTTGAAATTATTTGTCCATCGTATGCTTTCGATCTGAAATTTCTCAGTTTTCAAAGATCGCTTTACAGGCAAACTTACCTAAAATCTCTGTATGAGTCTCTCTCTTGTTCGAGAGAGAGACTCAGGGGGTGGGAAAGGCTCTGCGTATGGCATGGGTTCGTCTGCTCGGGGGTGTTCCTGCAGAGGGACGCCTTGTCTGACATTATGAAGAACACAGCAAGCCAAGATGATGTGGCAGACTTTTTCAGGCTTGTACTGAAGTGTCCCCCCTGCGCTGGACAGGCACAGCCATCAGCCTTTTAGCAGGCCTATTGTGCGTTCAACGGCCGTTCTTGAGCGTGCATGGGGCTACGGGGGTCATCAGCCACGGCTTTAATGGATATCCACGATCACCTACAGAGATATTATAGTAAACCATACGCAGCCCAGAAAAGAATTTCGAAATGTTGTAACACTCACCAATAAGCCAGCCATCGTCAACAGCTCCTGCTTGGAGGTGCACACCCACAGAGCTGTTTTGTAAAATAAATGAGTCGTGTGTTCCTCCAGGCCACCGGGCAACAACGTTTAACAGATACATATCTGCATCGCAGATTATTTGAGTACTGACTGAATGAAATCCTTTCCTGTTAAATAAACTGAATTCATTGTGTGAAGGTGCTTTTATTGCGATGTGGGGGCAATCTATGGCTCCAATTATGTTTGGAAATGCGGTGATGGCGTGAAATCCTCGTTTTATTTCGGCTTGTTGCTGATGTGTGTATGGGAACTGAATGTAAGTTGAGGCCAGAGAGATTATTGCATCCAACACTGCAGGCATTATTCTGCTCAGTGTTAGCTGCGAAATGCCGCATATGTCTCCAACCTCGTGTTGAAATGTTCCGGTGGCCAAAAATCCCAGGGTGGACAAGAGCTGGATGTGCACCGGGATGGCCTGGGTGCGTTTTGTCTGTCGCTCTAACACGGGCTGTAACTCACGGCATAAATCCATTAAAATATTCTTGGGAAAGCGGTACCTTCTAAGAAGCCACTCTGCTCTCACTGAGTAGATCAGCACGGTCTTTGAAAACGCGCTCCCTGCGGAGCATACGGTTCTCCAAGTCTTCCAATAGTGCAAGATAAGCCATGTTATTTGTATTTTCATACTTGTCAGACTTCTTTTGAGGTTGTCCTGCACAGCTGTCTTTCATAGCTTGTCACACCAATTATTCAAATTGTCTGCTAAATAACTAATTGATAAATTTCATTAATTAGAGGCAACGGAGAACATGTGTGAAGTTTGAGATTGCTGAACGCTGTCTTCTTTATTGGGCTCTGTTTGTAGTTTCACTGTTCTACCACTAGATTTTGTGTGTACGCATGGTCAGAGTCGTGCTTAAATTTACGTACGTTCCTAAGCACAAGTACAGGTTGATAAATTCCAGACTTTGCGCAGGAATGTTCGTACGCACTCTTTAAGCACACATCTGTGCGTACGCACGGTTGATAAATGGTTAGAGGCCAGTCCAAAAGCAGCATTGCCATCACCCTCTTTCAATGTGCTTTCACTGTGATGATAGTTCAGGGGAAAAGGAGTGTTTTGGGCAAATTTGCGTATTGTTGTCTGGCGAAATTAACATACTTTTCCAACTAGGATTTCATAGGACTTATGTTAGTCTAGACACCTTATAGAAATGATGTATGGTGAAAAGAAACCCTTTCTATAGGTTTTTTGGGGGTTAAGTTGTATGTTTTCATATATTGACCCATGTAATTTTCACCTAGTGTTATAAAATAAAATGCATGATAGAACCCATTTAGCTACTACTGCTGCAATGCTATCACATATTTTCTAACTCTATACATGTATACAATGTCAAAAATCACTATGAGCATTATTCCCCTCAGTTGATACCGACCAACCCCCCTGGCTCATGGCCTAAAAGACTCTGGCCATTTTTATAGAGTTAAATGCAAAAATTCCTGGATCCAGAAGGCGATCCGGATCACCACTGAAATGTAATGGGATCCTCCTGGGGCTGAGACGCACCTCTGGTGAAAATTTCAGGTCAATCTGTAACTTTCTCTGTAAAGTTGCTAACAGACAAACAAACAGACGGCTGCCATGCCTGTTTTATAGAGAGAGACAAAAGTAGGCTAACAGAGTCCAACAAGTTTTAAGTCGCATCTTCTGAGGTCTAAAAAGCTGATCAGTAACCATCAAACATACTGTGCCACACAGAGGAGAAACTTTAGATGAATTGTATTTGCCGATTACTGGGAGTCATGGTCATGGTCTACCTCCTCCAGGGCCGACACCTCTGCAGACAATCTGTCCCGCCAGTGGGCACCACTGACTGCCTCCAGCCTGTCCTCCACCTCATCCCCCGGCATGCCATCCCGCACATCCTCTTCTGGTGCCATGGTGTCACCGGCACCCAGGCAGATGTTATGCAGGACGGCACAAGCGGTGATGACCTGAATTTTAGAGGAATATTTATAAGAACATAAAGTATATAGACCTTTTTAATAAATAAAAGAATATAACAATATAAGTATAATATATAATAAGTTTTCATATTTTTAATTAATATATACTCAAGTATAAAAAAAATATTGTGTGCAGTGATGACGTACCTGTGGCACAAAGGTGTGGTGGATCTCCAGCGCTTTTAAAAAGATAGCACGGAAGCGGGTCTTCATCATGCCAAAGGCACGCTCAATTACAGAGTGTGCCCTGGCATGATTCCCCGTTAAAGCGCTGGGCTGCCACACCTCGCACCGGCAGCTTATAGGAAGTGATGAGGGGGAGTGGGTGCTGGAGGCACGGTTACCCGCTGTCTGCAAGAATGAAATGCCCTGGAGGAGGGTAGATATTCTGCCTGTACAGTGGGCTGTGCCGGAGTACCCTGGCGTCATGCACAGCCCACGTAAGTGTCAATAAATTGGCCCTGATGGTCACAGACTGCTTGCATTATAATTAAGGCAAACAGTTTCCTGTTTATGTAGCAGTGACCATCAGGACCGCTTTGTGGCTTAATTCGTACATAGCAGCCGTCGATTGCACCGGCAGCTTTGAGAAAAGCGCGGTGCCTAGACTGCCTACACTTAGTGCCAAATTGTGCCTAATGGTTTATTTTCTACCTCTGATGAAAACTGGCTCCAAATTACAATTAATTTCCACTAGACTAGTCTCCTACTAACTATTGGAGCTTTTGGATATGAAATTTACCTTGTGACACATCAATTTCTACCATTGTGCACAATATATATGTTCATATGCGATATAGAATAATGAAAAATAACAGGAAATTCTACATTTTTTGGCTCCACAGGGAGTATTTTTATTTAAAGAATAGTGCAAAAAGACAAACAAACAACCACTTAGTGCAAACAATGTAAAATAAATAGTAAAAGTGCAACAAATATAAAATAAAAAACAATAGATAATATATAACACAGCAAACACAATTAGTGCAAATGAAATGTAAGTAAAAGATGCAACAAAACTATTTACAATGAGCAATAAGGGGATGGAATGGCTTTCCAGCTGCAGTTCTTTTTTGTACACAAAATGTAACACAAATAGATAAAATATAAAGTGATCAATGTAAATATGAAGGAATGGAATGTGCAGGTAAACAAAAAAAAAACACAGAAAAACACAACAAACAATATTACAGTTTTCTCCACAGTGTCTCCAGCCCACACAACAGCCAGCCAGCCAACTGGACTTTCTCTTGTGCCTTTTCCCTTGAGTTTGACATTAAAATTACATCTTTAATTTACTATCTGTCTCTGTGTCTGCTTCTGGGTCCACAAAATACACCACACGCCATAGTAGCCTTGCATCTGCTTGGCCTTTTCCTCCTCCTTGGCCGCACAGACCACACATTTCCTGTGCTGCTGAGTGCTATCACCCCCCCCCCCCCCCCCCTAAACACAGGCATGCAGGTGTTGGTACCGCTCGGGCCAGGGCTGGCTGGCAGGTGGCCACTGCTTTGTGGAGAATGAAGCTGTTCACCACAGCAATATCCATGAAGTGGTAAAAAAATGTTTTGTACCACCGCATTGTTTTGCTGTGGACGGTGTAACACTGAATAAGAGCGCCCAAGAGGTCCACACCACCCATGTTTATATTGTAGTCCCTGCATGCGTCCAGCATATCAATAGGACCCCTGTGCCAGTGTCCATCTGGTCCCTTGACCCTCCTCTGTACAGTGGCCCCACTGTATGCCTTGTGGATGTGCTGCAGATGTTCACAATGTTTGTGTCCATCCACTGTGCGAAGAGTAGTTTGCCCTTTCTTATCCACCTCATGTCTCCCCTCTCAGGTTTCTTTGGGAGGTTGTTGACGGTTGTTTTAGGAAATCCCTCCCTATTTGACCGGATGGTGCCACAAGCTACAGTGTGATTTTGCAGTAATTTTGAGAAAAGCCGTGGACTGGTGTAAAAGTTATCAACGTTAAGATGATAGCCTTTCCCAAGGAGATCAAACTTCATTAGGTCCATGACGGATGTGATGCTAAGGCCATCCTCCGTCTGTCCCCTCTGTTTGACCTTGGTGTCATCTTTACCTTGAAAATTTGAGGTGAAGCCTGTTTTAGAGTCTGCCAATACAAATAATTTATAGCCAAATTTTGTAGGCTTATCCCTCATGTACTGCCTAAATCCATAAAGTGGCTTGATTTTGAATAGTCTGTCAAATTGAGGTGTTCCCCTTTTTCTTTCATTCTCTTCATCCTCTGTAACATCAGAAAGATGAAGAGAGCGAAAGATGGCCTCAAATTTGTCCCTCGTCATGCTACACTTAGGAAAGACAAATTGGTACGGCCAGTCCTTCCGCCAATAGTCATTCCTGGAGTGCACACGTACCAAGCCAAAGAACAAGACTATTGACAAGAAAAGATAGAAAGAGTCACCTGAGAGGGGAGACCACTTGTACTTTGCACCTTGTGCCAACCGTTGTGCAGTATTGGCATTTGTATTATTGATTCTGGTGTTTATGGTGCTGATGCTGAAGAATAGCCTGAAGAGGCTGAGTGGGGACCACTGTACCGTGGTGTCGATCCTGGGTCCAGGTGGATGCTTGGGCTCAAACCGTGGTGTTGGAGGCTCAACATCTGGCTCTTCTTTTGTGTGCCATCTCTCATGCTGAGCCTCTGGGTGTACAGGAGCTGGTCTTGGCCGCTTGCTGGCTTGCCCTCCACGGCCACGGCCACAACCACGGACACGACCACAGCTACAAGCTCTCTTGGGGTCGGGGGAAGAGGGCCCGGAATTTGAAGATGAAGAGGATCTGCGCTGTGGTGGCACATACTCTTCACATTCTTTTCCCTCCTCACTGTTGCATGAAAAAAGGAGTACAGATGTTGAAAGAAACATATTTAGAAGACTGATGATTCACATCAATTTCTTCAAAGACTAAGACATATAAATACATAATTGAAGCAGTACAGAGTGTATTATTTCTTTTAGAGACCCAAACTACACAAATGATCAGCACACAAACCTTGTTTCAAGTGGTGACACCTCTCTTGCAGACAAGGGTGGGGGAGGGGTGACTGCCGCAGGTACTGTTGGAGGTGTGAAAACTCCAGATGGGCCTGCTTGTGCTTCACTCTCCTCTTCTTGGTGGCTGTGAAAATGGTGATAAATTACTATGTAGAACAAAAATAAACAACATTTGTACATTTCACTGAGGGACACAAAAGCTGTGGACGTACGTAAACATTCAATAAATTGAGAAGCTATCGCCTCTACTACATTTTGTTTGCATTTATATTTACTTCATATGTCTTTTTTTTTCATCAAATATATTTATGAAGGCAGATAAAATGCAGTATCTGCAAGCAAAGTTAGCCCAAAATAAATAAATACTGTGAAACTGCAGTAATATTCAGTACTATTGAATTGCCATAATTACTACTGTGTTTTTTTTTTTTACCGTGCATATCAATTTACACAACACTGAGCCTCATAAATATATGCAAATACTCACTCATACACTGGGTCCACGTCGCTCATAAATAATGCCTCCTCTTCGGAGCCGGCATCATTACTGCTTTCAGAGTCAGATGAGTCCTCAAATTCAACATCTGACCCCCGCTGAATTTCTGCAAGAATCTCTGCAATATCCCTCTTGGTATTAAAAGTTTTCTTTTCCATCTTTGAAAAGAACTCGAAAAACTTTTTTTTTGCGGTGCAGAAAGTTTGCAGGACTGTCCTAAGTAATAGGTGTGTGATTCAGCATTCTGCCTTCTTCTCTGGGGCGCTGCAAGTAAAAGCGCACAGATTACGAACACTTTACGCACTGTTTTTTTTTTTTTTTTGCGTAGCTGCGATTTGTAGTCTTTGGATTGAAAGGTGTCAATCGATTCGGTAGCTTCTCCCCATTCAAATGACAACATACATTGCCGTATGGAGCCATTCTCTGCCACACTGTAAAGCTTTGATTCGTTGGTGGTCCCAAAATTTAAATGTCCAGATTCGCTACAAGGCAGATTAAAACCGCCATAAAAAGGTAACGATTGCACTAAAACAGACATCCGACCCAGTTTTGTGAACATTAGAGTCTAAACTTTGATCGAGAAGTGAAAGTAAACACCGCCGTCAAGATTCAATACATTTTTATAGTGTTCAATTACATGCCGATCGGGGGCAAGGGGTTAAGGGGCTTCATTTAGGATGTTTTTAATTAATTGTATCAATATGTTCTTGCAAGTTCTTACAAGATCCTGATCATGAATAAAGCCATTATAGGGGAAGAGCACAAAGTAATTGGAGTTGGAGAGCTGTTTCCTCATCTTCAAGCTTCCTTTCTCCTGCTGTATTGATGCATCTGCCTTCAACATGGTTACCAATTAGTGCACCTGGAGACACACAGCTGACTGGAAAGCTGCTTCTAATGGCCATATGAGACACATGAAGCCAGGCTCAGCATACAGAGCACTGGGTGTTACATTTAAAACCCTTCACGACAGCACTTGACAAACTTCGACCCTTATCTCCTCCAACAAACTTTTACCTACAGAAACCATCCAGGGGTTCAAAAATTCAGCTCATTGAGGACATTATGGGGTGTAGTCAGGAAATCTATTCATTTGAATTTTTTTACCATTTTAAAATCACTCAGTGATAATGCATTATTTTATTCTTCAAACAAATTAAAACTCATTCAAACTGATTCAATCATTTCTGATACTTCAAAACCTTCTTATGCTTGATTTTTAATTATTTAAATTTTCCCTGTTTTTAATTTGTTTTAATATTAATGCATTATTCCATCCTTCAAACAAAATCCCACTTTGACTACAACTACTGCTAATATCAATTAAACTAGTACTTTGACTTCTAATTCAACTACTATAGCTACTATTTCTACTTCTCTACTGCTTCTACTACTTGTACTCCTAGCTCTACTACTTTGACTTCTACTTCTTCTATTCTCAAACTACTTCTACTGCTTACATGACTACTAATATCACTACTATGACTGCTAATCATACTACTAATAGAACTACAACTTAAACTTATGCCACTATTATTTGTTCTTTAACCATTTTCACAATTATTCAACTTCTATTTCTTTCTCACCCCTTAAACAGCTTTAACATTTATACCATCCTCCATGTTTTATTAGCAGTTTCGCATTGCTTTTTCAGCTTTAAGCACTCAGCATTTCCACGCATTTTCTGCAAGGAAATGCATTTTTTCTAGTTGAGTGGGATTGCGAAGCATTCCCACTATATGTTATTCATATCTTTTATTATTAAGTGGAAATGCTGATTAAGCATTTCCACTTATTGTTATTCCTGTCGGCCATTCAAACTTTAAACTATTCCACTCCTTCAGGACATTATTGCATCTATTTTTCTCCTTTCTACCCCTTATACTTTTTTTTTTTTTTTTTACTTTTTGTGCAAAAATTTTAACATTGAAGTCAATGGGGAAATCTTCCAGTTCTCCCTTTTTATTCTTCCACCTTCAAAGCCTTGTAACTTCAACATACTTTCACCTAGAGACCTCATTTTTGCTTTAAAATGTTCATTGTCTTGTCGACTATTAAAGTTGTACTCAGTTTTGATATCTTTTACAGTTTTCCCACAATTTAGCTTTAAGCAACTTGTGGTTTTCAGCAAATTTCAGGCTTTATAATGGGTGTGTATTGGAGAGGCTAGAGTGATGATGTCATCGCTACAGTGGACAGCTCCTCCTTTTTTCGACAGAACCTCGCTCGAATATATCGCTTCCACGCCCATAAATTTCACTCCACAGCCATAAAAAATACATCAAAATGGAGGTATATGTGTCCTGCTTCTCACAAAAGAGGTTTCAAATAATTAAATCCTACCCCTTGGCCAGCAGGTGACCAACTGTCCAAATAGGCGGAAATCTCTCCCATTAACCCTTATGTAATTTTTCTCCAAGAAAATCCTGATCACCACTCAGGCTCAGACTTTTTTAACTCACTGTTGTGGCCACATTTTTTAGAGTACAGACATGAAAAACACATCATTGTGTTCATGAGGGGCGGAGGATTCGTACACACACATTCTTGTACTTGCTGCCTTGTGAGGTCTATGAGAAAAGACCCACAAAGCGAGGACTACCAGTTCTGTTTAACTTAGAAACATAAAAAATATCATTCAGGACACTGGGGGGCACCCTTGACCTACACACTCACTGAGTTTACATATATAAGCAAGTTTCACAAAAAAAGTTTTTAGCTGACAGAGCGAGGTGAAGAGCTTTAGTTTTAATATTTATGCATTATTCCATCCTTCAAACAAAATCCCACCTCTAGAACTACAACTACTGCTAATGTCAATTAAACTAGAACTTTCCCTTCTACTTCAACTGCTATTGCTTCTATTTCTACTTTCTCTACTGCTGCTATTGCTACTATTTCTACTTATTCTTCTACTTTGACTTATACTTCTTTTATTCTCAAACTACTTCTACTGCTTACATGACTACTAATATCACTACTTGACTACTTATCATACTACTTCTAGTACTACAACTTAAACTTATGCCACTTCTCACCTTCCTGCCTTTTAAGGCAATTTCCTTCTTCATTCAAACTTTGTGCAATTTTAGACATTTTTCTAGCCTCTTTCAGCATGAATAAAATTTCCTTTTATAGAGCATATTCATACTATTTGTCCTTCAACCAATTAAACGATTATCCAACTTATATTTCTTTTTCACCCCTTCGACAGCTTTAACATTTATACCTTCCTCCATGTTTTATTAGCAGTTTAGCATTGCTTTTTCAGCTTTCAGCACTCAGCATTTCCACACATTTTCTGCAAGGAAATGCATTTTCTCTAGTTAAGTGGAAATGCTGATTAAGCATTTCCACTTATTGTTATTGTCCTATTTCTTTATTATTAAGTGGAAATGCTGATTAAGCATTTCCACTTATTGTTATTCCTGTCGGCCATTTTTCTTTATTATTATTAGTATATGTGTCCTGCTTCTCACAAAAGAGGTTTCAAATCATTAAATCATACCCCTTGGCCAGCAGGTGACCAACTGTCCAAAAGAGGCACAGCCTCCTTGCCGGCCTTCACCTTTCCAACTGCTGAAAGCTGAACAGGAGAAAATTCATCATTTAGTTATATATGTATGTGTGTGTGTGTGTGTGTGTGTGTGTGTGTGTGTGTGTGTGTGTATGAAAATGTTTAAGTTTTTTCTTATTTGTGATGTTTTAACCCTCAGTTCCTACTATGTCCATTTTGCAAATGTGTCATTTCTTTCATCTTATTTTAAGGTGACAGTCACATTTTTAAAGATTGAGTCATCAAATTTGGTGGGATTTCTTGTTTCTCTTCATATATATATATATATATATATGTATATATATATATATATATATATATATATATATATATATATTGTTACGCCTGTGTGTTTGTTTTGTGTGTGTTTGTTCTGTGTGTGTTTTTCCCCCTTTTGTCTCTCCATAGCTGCTCAGGTGAAATCACTGAGTGCTAATCAGACTCACCTGGTGCTGGGCCTTTAAAGACTGAGAGCTGCCTGTAGTCGGGAGAGGCATTGGTGGGGAACTGCTGCCCTGCTGCCTCTCATTTATGTTGTGGGTGCTTTGTGTCTAGTTTGCAATTTTGTTATTTTGTCACAATAAATCACGTGTTAAACTTTTGAAGGTGTTTTGTTAATTTGATGGGTCAAAAGTTGAGGATTGTTGTTAGCCCCATAGGGCCGCCTAAGGGTGGGGCGTATATATATAATTGGCTCCTCTACTACTCTGTCACCGACAGAGTCTCTGTCACTACAAAAAAAATTTAACGCACCTAAATCAATTTTACTACTGGTCATTGACATGGCCCAGACTCTAATTATTATTATTTTTTTGAAATCCATCTAGGTCATTTTATATAGTAAATATGGCCATTTTGTGTTTTTTCCCATTAAAAATAACAGTGACATGGTGCACAATAAGTATCATAAAAAGGGTGTAACATTGATTTTTTTTATTTATTATTGTTTTAATGGTGACGGCTGAAGTTTAACAAATATGAGTTGAAAAAAGTTTAAAAATGTTAAAAAAAAAAACAAAAAAAAGGGCGGTTTTATGAACACTTATCTGCATGTCCATTTTGGGGACACAGCAGGCTAGATGGAGCTTAAAAATTAACAGGAATCAAGGGTTAAAAATGGCCCAGATACATGGCTTCACCATAAAAGTTAATACTGACCTCTACAAACACTCCCTCAATCGTCATCAGGCCCTGCTGCTCCTGGCACTGACGGATCCTCATCACTGGTAAGGCCGGGTGCAGCAGGGCCTCTGCTCTTGCTGCCAGATCCTCAGGGCACTTCAGTTTGCCGCCACGAAAAACCTGAGTCCCGGCACCAACGTTAATTTTATAGGGGGGGCACTTACCAAACAGAGTGTGTCCCCTCATATAACAGGACTCTCCTACTGCTACTCCCCCTGCCATGGCCTCAAATAAAAAAACTTTGGTTTCCCCATCGCTGATAACAGCTACCTTGTTGTTTTTATGCAGGCCGGGGAAGCATGGGCATCCTTGAAGTCCCAGACCACTTTAGGTGAGTCTTCTATTTTTAAGAAGAGGATGTGCAGGGGCGGTAGCCTGCCCTGAGGATCTGGCCGAGACTCCAGCAGCCTTCTCAGTGCC